TTCTCTCATACAACCCATCTCATGAAGCAATTGAAAACAATTGACCATGAAACTCGGGTTCTGGTGGCATCATACAGCTCATACAAGAGATGTAAAGCTCTAGTAGTTGTATGCCATTGTGCTGAAAGTGCAAATAACAACCTGCATTCGTTATTATGGGTCTTGGTCGACCATGTCCAGGCTTTCTCGATATGGAAACTGTTCTCGCAAATTACAAACCACAATGGCCATTATATAGAGCTCTGTAGCCACCTGTGTTTGTGGTTGGCCTGTCATCCATCTGCTAATAATTTTCCATCTCATTCTGTCATCCATACTTTCTCGGCTACTCATTTTACCTGATACCTTATAAAAAATATTCAATTCATGCAGGTCTAACTGATTCAGCTTTCACTGATAATGCATGTATTTAAGTATTGTTTAAGAGTTAGTAAGTAGATGTGTAATTTTTCTGTTGTAAATCTTTTTTTTTTTTTTTAATAGATATAAGAAGCCCGAAGAACGAGGACCTCTAAATGAAGCAATGAATATGTTACTTCCAATGATTTATCAGCGTTGTGTACAGCTTTTACAAGATCCTTCAGATGTGTCTGTCCTTTTGCAGAAACAAATTTTGAAAATTTTTTTTGCTCTTGTTCAATATTTCTTGCCTTTAGATTTAATATCTAAAGAAGTTTTCTCTCAATGGATGGAATTATTTCGTACGATTGTCGGAAGGCCGATTCCAGAGGTAATGATAAATTTCTGTTATGTTCTAAACTAGCGGTTCTCAACCAGGGAGAATTTCAAAGTATCAGGGAGGAGGGAATGCAATCAGCCTTTTATTTAGCTATTAAGCATTTAGTTTATGAATACAAAGAACTACTTTTATTCAAGATTTGGTATTTATCATTATTTTCTATGCATTTTTTTGGTTTAATATATGAAGCATATTATCAAATAATCTAAATTTAAATAAATGTATATGTATTTTTTGAGTTTTGGAAAGGAAGGAATGGTCATCTAGCAATGGTAAAAGGGTATATGGAGCAAAAAGGTTGAGAACTGCAGTTTTAAACATGTTTCAGATTTTGCTGATTTGAGAAAGATACTTTCGCTCAAACACTTAAACAGTTTTATTTGTTGGCAAGTTTACATGTAAAAAGACATGGCGTTTTATTTGTTTATTCTGGATGTCCATTCACTTGTAAAATCTCTCTCTCTATCTCTTTTTTTTTTTTTTTTTTTTTTTTTTTTTTACATACAGTGTTGACATTGCTCGTTTTCAAATTGGTAGGTTTGTTAATAAAAAATTTGCTTAAGTGTTACAAAATGTGAAATCGATAATAAAACTAATTCCAAATTTGAGCTTTCAGATGCCCACATTCGGGTGGAGACGTACGTTTCTTCAAAATTTTATGGTGCTAGTCTCCATTGTTTTATCATTGTGCAAGAAACATACATACATTTATGCATTATTTAATTTCTTTAAATATAATACAGAGCTCTAATATTTGGTGACAACAATTTTAAAAGCGATTCACTGTTATAGTGAATCACTTTTAAAATTACTTTTAAAATCAGCCTTTTTCCTTTGCGTTTTTGAATAACGGGTAAGTTGAATGTTTCCAAATGTTGAACCAACAGTTACAAACCGAATTGTCATTCCATGGGACAAAAATTATTTTGTTTTTCTCTTCATACTGGAAATCATAATAACCCCTATCATTCTTACGAACACCTTTCGCAGTTTCTAGTGGGCACATTTGTATGCGGTTTTCCTAAATTGTTCCTGTAGCATTGAAACCTTTATTTTTTAGATGACAGAGAAGAGCTGAAATGATGTAAAAAAGCTATCAAAATAAATAGCATGCTTGGAGTTTATAGTGAATCAACACAAAATTGATAGCCTTTCTGTGTTAACACATCCTTTGGGCCAGTATTTTCGGATGGACAAAAATTATTTTTTAACCCTCCAGCTGTCTAAAAGTTTATCTGCAAAAACCTGAAGTCCTTAAAATGTCATGAGAAAAGCTTTTTTCTGTATATTAATTCTGAAATACCCAAGCTCTTTAAATGCAAACTGTTTTCTTTAACCCATTAACCGCCAAAACTACAAGGAATGATTTTTTTCTTATGAAAATAATAACACATATTAATTTAAGCATTTATAACATAAATTTACATTGGAAATTAAAAAAAAATGCTCTTACCTGTGGAAAAAGCGGGTGTTGCGTTCGCGCAACGTCAGCGGAATTAGACTACAGATGTTAGGTGAGTAGGATTGTACTCATGCGATGTTTCCTTTGAGTGGAGCACTGGATTACGTTTTAGCTGTATAACGTTTTATAAATCTACAAATCACTTTACTTGTAATTAATTTAATTTAATTAAATATACATTCACTTTACTGTAATTAATTTAATATTAAATATACATTATATTTTTTTTTACAAAACAGATTATTTCAATTGAAAGATTCAAGCGGAAAAGCTTCACTACAATCATGATTAAGCTACATTACACTTTGCATCTATAAACGTCTGGCTATGGCACTCTTTACAACGAGTTTTTTGTTATCATCGGACTTAGGATAAAATGTCTACCATCTTTATGCAATGATTTTTAAATGCTGAATTTACTAGGTCTTCCTGTTGCTGATCTATCTCTGGCTAAATCTACTCTCATAGGAGTTGCAAAAGGAATAATGCAACCTCACGTCTGAAATATAAAGAGACGTTTTATTTCCAAGTAGAAAAGTCGGGATATTTTCCATGCATTTGTCAAGGCGACTCAATGATTAGTAAAATTGGCCACCACCATTTTTTGCCACGAATCTTATTCTGTAATTGGCTACTAAATTGTCCACTAAATCGACTCCACCCATTTTGGCATTGTATTGTTCAATAAGATGAGGCTGAGATATAAAAACCTTTTTCCTTTGCGTTTTTGAATAACGGGTAATTGATGTTTCCAAATGTTAACCACAGTTACAACCGAATTTCATGGACAAAAATTATTTTGTTTTTCTCTTCATACTGAAATCATAATAACCCCTATCATTCTTACGAACAACACTTTCGCGTTTTATGGGCACATTTGTATGCGGTTTTCCTAAATTGTTCCTGTAGCATTGAAACCTTTATTTTTTAGATGACAGAGAAGCTGAAATGATGTAAAAAAGCTATCAAAATAAATAGCATGCTTGGAGTTTCCACGACACTGAGCAAATTTATCACCACACTTCCTCCAAGCCCAAATTCTTCATATTCTGGTAATTTTGGAGCTGTCGACTTACCTGAGTAAATATCGAAATGAAACATATATCCATCAGATGACGCCAGAGTCCATGCTTTGTATCCAAATCTTACAGGTTTCCCTTTTAAAAACATCTTTGCTGAATGTTTGCCTCGATAAGGAATCATTTGCTCGTCAATATTCAGATCGTAGGAAAATATACCAAATTGTTGGAACTTCTTATTTAGTAAGTTTGGATACGGTCTCACCTTATATAATTTATCAGTATTGTCAATTTGACTATTGTCAGCTAAATGCAAATTCTGCTTCATATTCCTGTACTGCAAACGTGACATCGATTCTCGTACAATAGGAACAGAAATGTCCTTATCAAAAGACCAATACATTTCTTCTTGAGGTAAAGAATGTTATCCTGTAAGCAATAATATTTTATAAATCTTCTCGTATAGGATTCAGATGCAATAAATTCTGGGCGATTTTTTTTGCTGAGCGTATATATTTGTCTGTTCAACGCGAAGAGAGTAAATATCTGAACCAAAAAGAAAATAAAAAATCTCTCCACTAGTTTTACCTTGTATTTTGTCTTTTATAGTTTCTCTTCTATCTTTTTCTTCATTTTCTTCCCGAGACATAACTGATGCTTCCTTTTTTAATCCATTTCAAGTTTTCAATTTTCTGCTTTTTAAACTTTTTTTTGTATGACTATCACTGCTTTTAGAAGGCAGAAACTTACTTCTTAAGTGAATTTCAACTTCCCTAGCAGTATCATTTGGTAAAATATCATTAATTTAAAACATTGTCATTCCCTTCTTCTTCACTAGCTTCTGCAGTTTCGGGCAGAACAACAACAATATCAGTTTTATTCTGGTCATTATTAAAATTTTCATCATCTGTTTCTTCATCAAAAAATCTTGAAGGGCTTCTTCTACTGTAAGATACCTCGTTCTAGGCATTTTTAAAGAACCAGAACATGAACCAGAACATCGAAAGAAATGAGTGAAAAAAGGAGATTGACTACCCGTTTCCTGCTGACGTTGCGTCAACGAAACACCTGTTTTCGCTTCCTTCCCAACACAAATATAAATCTGATTGATGTACTGTTCTGATAAACGGTGACCTTGACTAAAAATATATCATTCATAAAGACGGCAAATCTTTCGTTATATATTTTCAGAAAAAATACCCGGTCGAAAATTTTGCTTAAAGTATAAGATTAATTATTATAAACAAAATGATAGTTGAAGGCAAATATTTTTTTACAGTTATAATCTTCATAATATTCCCTACACAAAATCATCTGCTGGTATAAAATATCTTCGGTAGTTATATTTATATACGCATTTATTTTGACCGTTGCGTCAACGCAACACCAGTGGCTAATGGGTTAAATCTGTATCTTTAGTAGTTTGGAAAATGCTTTGAGAAGCTCATAGAAATAAGCATTAACAAATAAAAATATTCATGGATATATATACAGTAAAAGCTTCATTAACATGAATCCCAAGAGACCAGAAAATCAAGAATTCGTGTTAAAATTTCTATGTTAATTAAGGATTCAAATTTTATTCTTGTAATAGTTATTTCTGTGCAATAACCATTTACAGTATATTAAGTATGTTGTCATAGAAAACACTACCATACTACATTAGTTCCTGTACTGCAATTTGAAACAATGTACTCACAGATAATTTTTTGTGAAAAATTCCTCTGTGTAGCATTGCCACTAATAGGAAAGAAAATGTCTGTAATTTCATGGCCAACTGACGTCATGGTTTCAGTAAAAATAGCAGTCAGTTCGAATGCTGCAGCAAAACATTTTAAAGTGTCCAAGGTATGTAATTCTGCCTGGCAGGAGGGCAGTCATTCTTTTGATGACTTCTTGCATCTCAGACACAAATGTTTGTGTCCGAGATGCAAGAAGATGTCCCTGGATTACACACAACAACATCATGATATGCACTAACAAACTCATCACAACAAAATTAGGGTTCATCATGTCTTTCAGAATATTCCATTGATCAGGTGAAGTGGTATCTTCAACCATTTCACCACGAAGTGGTATTGCCATTTAACTCGTCAACAGAATTAGTGTGTCTCCAGACAGTGCTAAAACAGTTCTGTAAATGTTATGATGACATGGATTTCCAGAATGCAGTGACAACTTTTATTGCATCAAGCAGACTTAAGCATTTCTGTCTCCTTTTCAGCAGCGTGAGTTGCAGCTATCCCAAGCCACGATAAGACCACTTCGTAAGAGTAACAATGCCTTGATCCAAGGGCTGAAGATGATTTGTTAATTTTTTTGGGAAAATGTGAACCTGTACAGTTCAGATTCTGTATGTTATGGGCTGTATACCTGTTCAGTGCCATAATGTTTGACCCACAATTTGACTATTAAAATGAAGAGACCACTTATGAAATGATGAGTTGTTGATATAAGATTTCTTATAGGGAGAGTAGATGCTAGGTAAAGTGCAGTTTATGTGCTTAAAACAACATGATTTCTCAAACTTTCCGATCAGCCAAAAAGTGTATTTATCACTACCCTCTGTGCTGCGTACTAGGACAATAGTTAAATGTTGTTTACTGCATGCTCAACCATAGTAGGGGAAAGATGTAAAATGGACCAGCTTCATCCATTCTCTAGACATCATACATGGAATAATCTTTCTGACTTAACCAGATTTTTACAACCAGTTGTTTGCTCCTTTTTCAACTTTTATTTACTTTACCACAAATCACTAATGATGAAACTTAATGTCTCATTTGGAATTATTACAGCAAACTAGCAGAACAACTGAAATCTTAACTGTGTAAATTTTTTGTAATCTTGTTTGCTTTTGAATGCATTATAGGTCTACCTAAAGCCATATTGAAAGCACACATATGGTTGAACCATTCTAGAAGTAAAGATTCCACATCTTCATTTTGAGTGCTGCAAAGTCAATTAGATTTGTTTTTGAAACTTGATGCAGCAGCGTTAAGAATTTAATTATCTTTAGGTGTTGTGGGTAGCACATAATTGGCAGCTTCATATCTTTTGGCAATTATGCTTTTCTTTTACACCATAGCTTACTTTCTTTAGGATTTTTAGTTTTGTTTTAAGATCCTTAACTGCACATATGACCAAACAATTGGATTTGATGATCTTGATTGTCAAGCAGTGTTACATGTGCTGGATATGTTTTAAACAATACAGTGTTTTCTCTCTGAGATTTTTAATTAAACAGGGTGGAACATTTTTGAACGCAGTCCTAGCAGAGAAACAACTGAAAAAATATGGAAAGTTTGCATTAAGTGAAAAAAATCGAATGGTACAATTGAAAAAAAAACAGTTCTCAGTTCATGCTAACTGAAATTTGCATTAACTGATAAAACTTTCTATAAGGTTAAATACATCTTTGCCAGGACCGATTCATTTCAACCGAGTGTTTGCCTTAAGATGGTTTGTATAAAGGGGAAGGTTTCTGTATATATATACACACACAGAAAGAAAAGGGACGGCCACGATAATCAGTTTTTCTTGCAAGTATTTTTCACATCTGAAGCAGTCAACCCACAGTTTTCTCCTGCATCTGTTAATGAGCTGTTATTTATTCTTTTGTTTTTTGGAAATGTAACTGTTCTATCAATCTTTTCTTTACAGGTGTAATGATGCTTGAAAATGAGTAATGCAGTTTAGAAATAACTACACTGTGTTATAACGGAACACCTTTTTCCAGTCTGCTTAAATTCTTAGCTGTTCTGTTTTATTTTGCAATAATAGAAAAGTTATATTTATTATGAATCATGTGTATTTTGCTAAATGCTTTTTGCTTACAAAATTTTGCTAAATGAACAGTTTTCCCCTCAGAATCAGTCTTCTTAGTAACTTTTTCTACCCTTTTATCCTCCTAAATTTTGTTAAAAAAATTGTTTAGATGTATGTTTCCCACATTTATAATTGCATATCACTAGTAATAATAAAGACAAATTAAATTGTTATACATTCTTAATTACTTCATTGTATTTTATAGTAAATTCCTAAAATTATTCAGTTACTCGTACATAATTTGAGAACTAGTTCATTTTGTATATTCCAAAACATTGTTCTCTTCGATGTCTGCAAATTCAGAGAGGTTAAAAGTTTTCCAGTGGAACTCTAGTTGATCACATTTTAGTATTTTCAGTCTTGTACATAGAGGGGAATTTCATCAGTTTAACATTGTGAGACAAACTACACTAACCATTTTACCCTAAAAGGCTAACATTTGAATAGAAAGTTATCGAAAGTCATAGGTTTTTGGTGTTATTAAAAAGCAATCCCAGATTGGTTTAAATATTGAACAAAGCCTGATTTTTAAAGCTATATGTTAAAACAATTTTTCATGTGAAATTGATCAAATTTGATAGTTTTATTTGAAATAAACACCAATTTTTTTGGGGGAGGGTACAAGGGGTAATTTAAAACTTTGCATTAGAGTATTTCTCATTTAAAAGAAAAGTTCATTTAATGAAATTCAAGTAGTAAGAAAAGCATTGTGGATGAAAATGCTAACTATTATTGAAAAACCAACATTTGATTGTTTTTCTACTTGTGCATAGTTTCTTACCGTAGCAGCATTGGGTTCTGAAACATTATATGTAGCATATCTAGAAAAGGTTAATCTTGAATATGAAGATTTAAAATAAAAAACAAATTTTTAAAAAGTTCTTTTTCTCTTCCAAATCTTAGCACACATCTACGTATGATGAAGAAGAACAAGTTGAGTTGTCATGGTGGAAATGCAAGAAATGGGCATTGCATATCCTTACTCGTGTCTTTGAAAGGTTATATATTTTTGTATCGATTTGAATTTTTTATATTTTGATGTTTGCCGCAAGATGAAATATTTAATTATAATGACAGATTATTTGTTGTAACTAACTTATCACCAAATTAGTGAAAGTAAAATGGCTGTATTATTTATAAATTTTTATCACTGTTTCAGTTTTTTTATTAAAATTATGATATTTACCTGAATTTTTTATTTGTTATCTGTGTATCTTTAAGCTATAATTTGAATTTAGAAATTAAGAATTTGATATTTAACAAATATATATCCTTTTTTTTTTAACCTTTTCAAACTTTGAATTATAAATACAATTAAATACAGAGTCAATAAGTTGGCCAACAGCTGTCATAAAAATCCATAAATACTGAAATAGATCTGTAGCCATGCAAAGAAGCACATCAATTATTTACCTAGTTCAATATGAAGATCCTGCAAGACTAAATATAAATAAATGGTTGTTATTCCAAACAAAATGAAGTGATTGAGTTTGGTAAATTTATTTCATGCAATAAGCTATTGCCTAGAAAGAAAATTAATATCAAAAGTTTGTTTCAAAAATTTCATTTTGGAAATTTCTGTATCAAATTCCAGAAAGCTAGCTTTTATGATTTTTTATAAAGACTTTTAGTTGCACAATCTTCTGCGAAAAATTTCTTTTTTAAATAAGACTCAACAATTTTTTAGTTGAAAATATTTTAAGAGTTTGTTGCTAAATTTGCATTTAATTAAATACTTACTGCATTAATTTGGATTTAATGCATTAATTTGGATTTAATTTATCTGCATTTTATTAAATTGCTTAGTATGTGTTTTGATCTGCCAGCTTTTGCGATTTTTTTCATAATATTTTAAAAAAATTATTTTAATTTTACAATCTTGTGCACCTTTTTTAAAAATAAAAATTAAAAAAAAAAAAAATTAGCTGCAAAATATTTTGCCAGTTTGGCAATTTGTTGGTAAATCTGCATTTCTTGGCTGACATTTGAGTTGCCATTTTAATTTGTTTTCTTGATTGTATTAAAAAAGAAGATATTCCATTTTCAGAATATGATTTCTTTTGTTATGCTTTGCTAAGTTTGGCATCTTCTCAACATTTTCAAAATTTTAAATCTAATTTTTTAATTGTTGAATTGCAAATATATAACATGTAGTAAAGTTATTATGATGCATGAATAAAATTATAATGTCAGAACTCTTATATTCTTTTGGAAATGTTATTAATCACAGTAAGGTAAACATCCCTTTTTATCAAAAGAGAAGAATTCATTTCATTTATCTAAATAACATACATATATAAACATATATAAACTTCGAGCTCATAACTAGATAGCTTCTCTTGTTGGAAATTCATTTTCATACTCATGAAAGAGATGGGGTGTAACTGTTCATCATTGGACTTTTGTAGCAAAACAACGCTGAAACACCACTGCTTGCATCTGTGTTTAATTCTGGTGATGCTCTTTGTTTGAAACATGAAGAACATGGCTTGTTGATAAAAGTTCTTTCAGTTTGTTAAGTGTCTGTTTTTACTTAAGACCCAAATTTGAATTCTGCTTCATTGTAAAAAAGGTCACTTAAAAATTTGGCTATTTTTGAATAGCTGGCAATAAATTTTTCTAAAATACCGAATTTGCTTAAGGTTTTAGGGCTCCAGGAAATTGAACAGCCCTGTTCTCCCCCCCCCCAGAAAAGAGGTGAATTTTACCATCCTCAATAATATACACGAGAAATTCCATTTTTCTTTATAAAACTGACAATTCCTAAAATTGATCTCAAAATCATATTCTTTGGCTGCTTTTAGAATGCATTTTAACTTTTCTAAACCTTCTTTCTCGTTTAGCATTGGGATAGTAAATGATGATTTGACATGAATAATAATATTGGTTGAACTTTATGGAAATCAGAGAAGCTGAGTTCAAAATTGTTTTTTAGTGCGTTTAGGTTTTCAAAATATTTCTCCATTTCAATTGCCTTGTGGTTATTAATATGGCTTCATAAATTCTGAAAATGGGTGACATTTTTTCCTTTCATCTGATTTATCCACAAATTTAACTTTATCTGAAAAGCAGTTACAGTCCCAGTCAATTGAAAAAGATTTTTTTTTCTGTTCCGTTTAGATCTTCATTCGATTCCATGTTTGCTGTCATGTTCATCAGTCAGCAATCAGTTATTTTATAATGGCTTGCAAAGATATCTCTTATGACTATAAATCCTTACTATATGTTAACAATTAAGAAATATAAATGAATGTTTATTTTTAAAATATTTTTTGTTCATAGTACCTAATTGAGGTGGCAAGCACAAGATTGGGCACCGCTGTTCTACACCATGAATATTGCAAATTCCTTTTTTATTATATAACTTTGTAAGCTTTCTGAAATAAAAATACAATAAATGGAGATAAAATTACTTCACTTGAATTGCAGTAATTCTATTTAGCTTGTAGTAAAAAGATTAAAAAAAAGTATTATCATTTATCCACATGGACAGCAGTCTTGTAGTTTGTTAATAACGAGAATTGTACTCTGATGTTAATAATGAAGGATGCTTATTTGTCATATTTTAAGGGAGTTTATCTGAAGTTTGGCTTGTATTGAAGGTAATATTATCATGCAGTCCTGTAAGTATGCTCTGTTTTAGATATGTGTATACATTAATGATTTACTTTTGTTATAGGTATGGGAACCCTGGGAATGTAACAAAAGAATATAAAGATTTTGCTGTCTACTACCTCAAAGCATATACTGCTGGAATATTAGAAGTTTTACTTAAATTATTAGATCAGTATAGGCAGAAGGTCTTTATTTCTCCACGTGTGCTGCAGTTAGTTCTCAATTATATTAATGAAGCGTAAGTAAGTTCCATATAATTTCTCTTTTTTCTTTTGATCATAGCCCACTGGAAATGTAAAGAAAATATGCTCAACACTTTGAGTATTATACTTTTTTTGATTTTTTTTTTTTTTTTTGATTCATATCATGGCTGATTTGATGTTGTAAGTGAAAGTAGTTTTCATCGTATATGAAACATTAAGAGTTCAAACAAAGAATAAGACTTATTTTTTTAGACATTTTTTAATAAAATATTTTTTATCCTTCAACCAATATATTTTAATTCATGTACGTATTATTTTGCATACCAAAAAATGACACACTTTTACACAAAATTTTAAATTGCTTTTATATAAGATTTGCAGAATTTTAGATTTGTTATTTTTGTTTTCAGTTTATCAAATTGCATAATTTTTTTTATAGAGTTTCTCATTCTTTTTCATGGAAACTTTTGAAGCCACATATGTTGGTAAGTTTATCTGAAAATCTCCTTTTCTGTATATTAGTTTATTTATCTGCAAAAATGGTAATAAACGATTTGATTTTAGTTAATCATACAAGATGTTGTATTTCCCTTGATGTGCTGTAGTGATAGAGATGAAGAATTATGGAATACTGATCCCCATGAATATATAAGATCCAAATTTGGTAAGAAATGTTTCATTTTTGTAATGTTACATGGTTCTGTAGTGTATATTAAGAGAAATGTTGATTTTATGTATATAAAGTTTAATTTACTTCATTAAGTTATTGAATCTAGCACTAACTCTCTCAGCAGCATTAGTTAACATGTCTAATCACATATATTGAGATTTTTACTACATAGAATTAATGAGCACAGTATAGAATCTGTCCTCTTCCAGCAAATGGCAGCTGAGTGGAAAATGGAAGTAAGAATGACTTCACCAATGAAGTTTTGAGATATGTTAGCCTAGGAAACACTTGAAATGTTATTATGTTTTAGTGTATGATCGTATAACCACCTTCTGTAAAAGAAATATTCAAATCAGAAATTTGGGGGGGGGAGTCTGATAAAAAATTTGATTGCATAGATATGGATTTTTTTAAACATAATTTTTCAAACATTTTTTTAAATAATGTTTTCAATTTGTTCCATTAAAGAATAAGAAACATATTTGGATGTATGAAATCTGTTTTGGAATAGTTTAAATTTCCATGCCTTGTTTTTCATATGAAATGATAACAAATTAAAAGAGTAAAATTTAATATTCCTATATACACAGCTAAAAGGTTTTATGAAATAGTTCAGTATATTTCTTGTGCTAGCTGCTTAAATTTGGAATTACTGGTGTAGAATTTTCTGATTTAAAAAAATTGTCTTTTTTATTTTGTATTGATTTGTAATAAACAGCAATTTTTTTATAAGAAAACAATAAATGTTCAGAGAAATTTTTCTCTTTAAAAATTATTATTGTGTATACGAGCCAGTTTCCCTTAGAAAGAAGCATCCCTCCCCTTAGGCAGATAGCCCTCGAGGCTTCGCCATTATCACACACACACACGTCTTTAAAAATTATTACTTAAAATATGTTTTACTAATCTTGAATTGTATAGGAATTAAGGGCTATTGCTAAATTAAATTAGTTTCTTTCATATTTTATCTTACACACACATGTATGTGTACAGTTAAATAAATAACTAAATAACTATATATATGTGATGATTTCAAATGCGTAGATGAAAGCAGTGGACCTCCTAACAGCTTATGATACTGCGTAGATGACCGAGAAGACCGTAGTGGCTTGATTGGGAATTCAGATGGATACTTACCTTTTTTATTGTAGCCATTCGTTAAACGATGTGAGATGAGTTGAAATAAACTGCACTGAAGTTCCACTAATCGGCTGCGCCATATTATTGTAATGAAATTGTGGTTTGAAGGTGGCAGAGTGGAAAGCATGATAATGCAATTTTAAAATATATCTTGAAAAATCACAATCTTTATTTTTTCCATGCATATCAAATCATTCTTTTTCAGATAAGATATTTCCTAATTATATTTGAATAGAAAAACTCCCATTTTGAAGTACGACGTCATCTTAAGCAAGCAAGTAAGCAGCAGCATGGTTTGAAAGCGTCTTGCCAGCAGGAAAGCTGGCAAGACGCTCTCAAACCATGCTGCTGGGGAATGTGTGGAATGTGGGGAAAAAGGCAAGGTTATAGTACTTTCATAGCAAGAAGGCTGAAGTTTCCGTTCACAGTTTTGGTTTAGAATTAATTTGATTGTACGAGAGGCATCTGCATTAAAATGTTACGTAAGTAGAACACTCTGGAACCTGTGAGAAGAGATGATTAGGGGCAGATTACCAAATTTAGAATGTTAAATTTGAGGTCGTCAATTATTTTTTTGAAACAGCTATCATATTTTATTATATCTTGCATATCCCTTCCCTTCAAAAGAAAAGTTGGGTGAGCAGGGTGGAAGAGCAAGCATTAAAGCAGCAAAATGTGAAAGATATAATTTTGAAAATACAAACACATTAACTTTTAAACAAAAATTATTGTCATAAAATTTTGACCAATATCTTGAATCAATTTTGACAGTTCACTGAATGTCACAAAATTTTGAATTCAATAATAATTTTAGACACTGTACTCTTTTAAAACAATTGCACATTTTAGTGTTCTGAGATAAAGAATGTCCAATGGAATTTTGTAAAGTTCTTGATAGTTCCACATGGTGAAAGTTCAATTTTTTTCACAAACTAAATATTCAAATAAAATTCTTTCAAATTTTTGCTGATGAAAATATTTCTGTTATATTACAAATTAAGATGCCAATTTTCATGTTATTTAATTATGTTTTTTAGGGAAGGTATTTTAAAATATAAAAAATTTGTAAAATATCATTCATAAACACAATTTCAAAATTTTCACTATTATTAAGACATTTAAAATTTACTTATTCTTTACAAAACTTGAAGCTTCCACAACTTTATCTAAATACTAGCATTTCCATCATATTGGTTTATCAGTTGAGCAAACTGGTGTTTAATATTCTTCACCAGTGGCCGAAAGATTTGCCAAATTAGCAGTTATTGTAGAAAAGACCTCCGTTCCTTCTGTAGAGGCAACTGGCCTTTTTTGAACTGCTGTCATTCCATATGAATATTAAAAACACACTTCATTTTATGAAAAAATAAAAATACTTAGATTAAAAAAAAATGTATTTTTTCATAAGGTGAGAGCCTTCAACGTTTATCATAAAAACATTAAAGAAATTTCAAACAATAATTTCATTCTTAACATACAGTAAAAATTAAAAAATATAAATTCAAAAAAATTTAAACAATAGTACAAAAATATTTTTCATATTAGAAACCTTCCCTAAGTAAAACATTCCTAATTTTTACCAAATTCAATAATTTCTTTTTCCCAATTCAGAAATACTAAACTACATTTTAAATACATCATAAAATGTTTGAATTATTAACTTTGATTTTAAAATGACTTAAGCAAAATATTACCATCAATAAATCATAATACAATTAACTTATAAATGCAATTTTTTTTAAACGTAATGTATTCAATTTGGAAATTAATCTTCGCTGTCATATTTGATGACGTATGATAATATAGCATTCTTAGAATCTGAAGAATTTTCCGAATAAAGCATTGAATATGCAAGAGAGCACAAAATACTATTTAGTTTCTTATTTCACTAATGATGTTGATGACCTTCAAAGCACTTTGGATGTTTAATTTTCTTTTTACGCGACGATTGGAACAGCATTACGAATATTCCAAGCAAGCCAGAATGAAAAACATATTTCACTATGTTGGCGTCGCTGACCTTGATTCGAAACAGTTTTGATTTTGAACTTGCAGATATTCTACGATTTCAAAGCACTTTTAGAATATGCCGTTAAATCACACACCGGAAACGAATTTGGTGATTCACTGGAAGTTTGAGGCAGCAGAGGTCGAAATCCATTCGGGAAAACTTGCATCAGGTTAATCCTGTCCTGACTTTTTATAAATATGTGATGATTTCAAATGCATAGATGAAAGCAGTGGACCTCCTAACAGCTTATGATATTGCGTAGATGACCGAGAAGACCGTAGTGGCTCGATTGGGAATTCAGATGAATAGTTACCTTTTTTATTTAGCCATTCGTTAAACGATGTGAGGTGAGTTGAAATAAACTGCACTGAAGTTCCACTCCTGTAGGGTCGAAAATCGGCTGCACCATATTATTGTAATGAAACTGTGGTTTGAAGGTGGCACAGTGGAAAGCATGATAACACAATTTTAAAATATATCTTGAAAAAATCATAATCTTTATTTTTTCCATGCATATCAAATCATCCTTTTTCAGATAAGATATTTCCTAATTATATTTGAATAAAAAAACTCCCATTTTGAAATACGACGTCATCTTAAGCAAGCAAGTAAGCAGCAGCATAGTTTAAGAGTGTATTGCCATCAGGAAAGCTATGCGGGGAAAAAGGCAAGGTTATAGTACTTTCATAGCAAGAAGGCTGAAGTTTCAGTTCTCACAGTTTTGGTTTAGAATTAACTTGATTGGACGAGAGGCATCTGCATTAAAATGTTACGTAAGATAGAACACTCTGGAACCTGTGAGAAGAGATGAATTTAGGGGCAGATTACCAAATTTAGAATGTTAATTTTGAGGTCGTCAATTATGTTTTTGAAACAGCTATAATATTTTATTATATTATATATATATATATATATATATATGTGAGTTGCAACTCCTTGATTATGCAGTATTGTTTGCCAAACAAAATATGTTCTGAAATTGCATAAAAAACATTTTTTGCCACCAAAATAACGAAAGTTTGGATTAATTGTGTTCGATATGGGAAAACCGTCGATCCAACTGACTACTTTTTCTTCAGAACATTTAATTTCTAAATTTTGATGTGAAAAAATTTAATGAACTATTTAATGAATTACTTATATTATGCACTACATAACTATTTAATGAATTACTTATATTATGCACTACATTCAAAAATTATTTTTCATAATAGTAAGTTGATTTTTTTAAAAAACTATATAGATGTCTTTGAAGACTTCATTTCACCTGTTACTGCTGCTCAAACTTTGTTACATTCAGTTGCTAAAAAGAGGAAAGATATGCTACAAAAAGCAATGGAATTTGTTATGACTGTTTTAACTAATCAAGCTTCTACTGCCCGACAAAAGGATGGAGCTCTGCACATGATCGGAACAGTAGCTGATGTGCTTTTAAAGGTATGTTGTGGGAGCATTTAAATCTAACTAATTTTCATATTAATTTTGTGTTTAAACCCTCTAAGAAGTCGTATTGCAGTCTACATTAAATGGTTTCATTCTTTTTTCAAATAGCTTATTAAAGGTAGTTTCTTATGCAAAGTTGGCAACTAAATCTTTTAACTTTCTCCTTTCTGTAGTCCCTTGCAGTATAATGCAGTTCTTTAGTAACTATGCTAACAGTTTTGTTGTTCTGTAGACTCTAGCATTACAGTGCTATGAGAAGTAATAACATGTTTTGATGGAGATTTCTATGTAAGTTATTATATTAAATCAATGTGCATGTTGTAAACTTAGTAATGTTGCTTGTCATGCTGCACAATCCAATGTTTGCGTCTCTTTTCTCTGGAGCCATCATTTGAACTTCTGCAAAGAGCAGTTTTGTTGCTCAAGTAACAGGCTGTTCAACTTTATTGTTTTTCATACAATAGCAATACAATGCTGACCAAAGTCATTTGAAGAATAACACCTTATAAAAAGATGGAGATTTCTCAGTAGACCACTGTAACTGCATTTAACCAAGGCACACATTGTATGCCTGGTAATATTGCCCACTACTTATATTCTAGAAAAGTTTAATTCAACGTATCAAACCACTTTGGACTATATTTGGAAACTAGGATTGGTCTGTAAATATTCCAGTTGGGTGCCTTATAACTTCAGAAAAATTTGTTCCATCAAATCGTCATATGTACATCTCTTCTTCCTTAGAACAAAAACAAGCCTTTTTTTGGACCAGATGAAAACTGTCTACAAAATATGTCGAAACTTCTGAACATCTTTAGGAAAAGAGCATACTGTAAGTTCAGACAGTTTGCTTCCTCAGCCTCTAAACCAAGCTTGAGCCTGACTAAGAAAATGCTGTTTCTATGGTGGGATTTCAAAGACCAATATATTATGAGCTTTTAGGACCTAAAGAAAAATGCAATTTAAAGAGATACTGTCAGCAAAAATAGACGATGTAAACAAAGTTGTTGTAGAAAAGAGGCCAGTGGTGTTCAGTAGGAAGCAGATTATACTGCATCGTGATAATGCTAGACTACGTTTTGACGACGTGTAATATATTTGTTGTGTTCTATAAATACTTAATCTTGCAACCCTTAAAGCCTAATGTGTTACATGTCAGAAAATCATAGAGCTGGGCTGGAAAATTTTGTTTCTCGGGACTATTTTCCAGATCTAGTACTCTCCAATTATCACTTGTTTCTCTTGTAAAATTTGGAAACAAAATTCGAAACTGAAGCAGGTGTCATCCAAGCACTACTTGAGTTCTTTGTAATGTCTTTTAGATGTAGTTCTTTTAGATGTCATCCAAGCACTACTTTAAGTTTTTTGAAAAATGTTCTAAGAAGACATTTTTCAAAAATGGTATCAACAAATTACCATCATGCTGGCAAGAGGTCATAAGTAATAATGTAAATTACATTGTGCAATAAATATTATTATAGGTATGAAAAATGTATTATTTTGCTTTACTTCCCAAATGGACAATTTTCTGACATACCTTATATTTTAAATTATTTGTATTAATTTTTATTATATTTAATTCATATATAAAATTACCATTATTATATTTATTCATATTTAAAAATACCATTTTAATGGCACAATATAAAATATAAGTAATTAACATGTTGAGTCCGGCGGCAAATTTGCTGTTCTTTCTGTTCAGCTGGTGCGAGCGATCAAGCGGAGCATTGTTGCAGGGTGATCCGCGACTTCATGCACTGAGTGGAGCTTATCTGTTGGTGAGCTTTGTTGGCTACCGACATACAAGCCCTGCCTGTGCATGACAAAGCTCCTTGGCCACGGATGTTAATACTGTTGGTTCCGAGGACCGACGCCAGCTAACAAAAATTCCAGTCAATGTGTTAATTGAATATGGTAGATTGCATACTACATCATTATCAAATCTAATCTATAGACTGAATCTAATTATGATTTCACCTGTGGGAAAGGAGGAACCTGTAGTGAATGATCTGTAAGACATTTAGGGAGGAGATTCTTTAAGGGTAGAAATTTTGAGTATTATACGAGGGCCATCCAGGAAGTAGATTACGTTTCCGTCTGTGTCCGCTAGGGGCGGGGCTAGCGCGGCCATCTTGGGGTCAGAGCGTTGTGCAGCTCAGTCTGCATCTAGCCGTGCTAGTGAGAGGTTCGTGCTGTGCTCCGTTCAGATACTGTGACGGTTTGAAATGTCTGCGTTAATTGAAAATTCCGCGAGCTGTGAGGTGCGCTCAGTAATAAGGTTTCTGACTGCAAAAAACTGTAAACCGATAGAAATCTATCGACAGCTTCGTGAAGTGTATGGGGACAACATTATCACTGAAGGTGGAGTGCGTCAGTGGGTCATAAGATTTCAAAATGGCCGAACCAATGTTCACGACGAAGATCGAAGTGGGAGACCCAGCATAGTGACCGCCGAACTTCTCGAAAAAGTCGATGCTAAAGTCCGTGAAAATCGAAAATTTCACAATAACGGAACTTTCTTTGAGTTTTCCACAAATTTCGCGAAGTTTGTTGCACGAAATCATCAGCGAAAAGCTTGGTTACCACAAGTTTTTGTGCAAGATGGATTCCAAAATCTTGACAGAGGACCACAAAAATCAGCGAATGGCTGCAGCGTTGAACTTTTTGGACGCTTACCATAAGGATGGTGACTCTTTACTCGATCGCATCGTTACTGGTGACGAAACATGGGTGAAACATGTGAACTGTGAAACGAAATTGCAATCAATGCAGTGGGGGCACACAAGTTCTCCCCAAAAACCCAAGAAATGCATGCAAACAATGTCGGCAAGGAAGATGATGGCGACTGTTTTTTGGGACAGAAAAGGTGTAATTTTGGTGGACTTCCTGGAAAGAGGCACTACAATAAACTCTCCAAAAACTCAGAAGAGCAATTCAAAACAAGCGCAGAGGAATGTTGAGCTCTAAGATCTTGTTGATTCACGACAACGCCCGGCCCCACACGGCAAATGTCACTCGTAAAGTTCTTGAATCTTTTAAGTGGGAGTTGTTTCCTCATCCGCCGTACAGTCCCGACCTGGCACCGAGCGACTTCCACCTATTCCCAGCAATGAAGAAGTGGCTGGCTATGCAGCGTTTTGATGACGACGCACAGCTGCAAGAAGAGGTAACGAAGTGGTTGAAGGCGCAGGCGGCCGAATTTTTCGACGAAGGAATTTCCAAGCTCGTACATCACTACGATAAATGCCTTAATTTGTATGGTGACTATGTAGAAAAGTAGTATTTGAGTGTGGCTTTCATCTGTATATAATAAAATTTGTTTCCTATACTTTGTTTATTTTTTTATTTCAAAACGTAATCTACTTTCTGGATAGCCCTCGTAATAAAATTAAGTGTGCTGCCAAGATGAAAATCAATAATTCTATGAGGGTTTGAATCTAATTTTCTTTTAATATATGAATGACTTATATTTCATGGTATTTGGCAAGATCTCGAAATTGATATGACCGATCTTTAGACATAAACCTCATTGAGCATATTTAAATACCTTGCTTGCAGCTCTTCAGTTACTACAAACCGTTTATGAACTTGAATTTATCTTGCATTTCCTGCATAAAAATTCAGTTTTGCAATTTTTATGAAATGCCATTTGCTTGTCTTAAAGATTAAGCCCATCATACCTTACTGGGATTTCAAAACAAAATGGGATTCAAAACATTTTTCAAACTTTTCTCCAAAGAAATTAGTACATTAGATGCAATGATTTTTTTTCAACGCAAAAAAAAGATATGAAAATGCTTTGTCTTTTAGCATTACGAATATTCTGCTTAATCTGTTTAACTTAAATATTCTTCCTGTTTATTTTTTTCATTTTTTCTTTTCTTTTTTTTTTAATAAAATTTACTGACATAAAGTTTTTTCTTTAATTAAGCATAAATACATATTTTTATTGTCATTATTTTATATATATTTAAAATTTGTGGAATATTTTTATGAACTTGTCTGTGTTTTTTTTTAGCGCAAAATATATAAGGAACAGATGGAATCCATTTTGGTTGCATATGTTTTTCCTCATTTCCAGAGTGAGCATGGTTTTATGAGAGCTAGAGTAAGTTTTTTTAAATAAGCTTATTCTGAGTATGATTTCCCCCTCCCCCCTCTCCAGTTTTCAAAGACATGATTGTGATTTCTGGGTCACATGGTGTTCTCTCATAAGAAATGCAAATCAAATAAATTAAACAAATTTACATGAATAACAATCTAGATTAATAACGTATTTTTAAAACAAACCTATGAAGAAAAATAATTCAGTTACACAACCCAAATAATTACTGTAAAATTCTAAAAAGAGAAAAATATCTGAAAGTAATAATTGTGGTTATAAAGTGTGATATAGAATTAAATATTTCCAAGAAAGAAGAAACAAGGCTTTTTCCCGCACATACGGAATGAAAGGGAAAGTGAAATTATCATAAATTCAGAAGAATAATAGAATTAAAGTGAGGGAAAAATTTGGCTATCATTTAAAAAAAAGTTTAATTTTGTATCAAAATACACGTTAGAACAATGGTATATGTAAATCTAAATATGTATCTTACACCAAGCTTTCGAGTTATGAAAAACCCAAACTTTTTTTGGGAGGGGAGGACTTGGTATAGATATTGCCACTGCCAGCAGCTCTGGTAAAGCTCAGCAAATGAATGGATGCTGCTGTTTATAATCATTGATGGGGTATGCTACAAAGGTATATATCAAACTTTTGATTACATTTAGATGTATGAACAATATAAATATGTGGCTGTAAATGATATGGGGATTTCCTGCTTAAAGGTTGTCTTGCATATATATAAATGGTGTGACATTTTGAATTCATTTGCCATGGCATTTTCACCTCACTGCATGATTGTTTTGTGTCATTTCCTACAACAAAAAAAAAAAAACTTCGACTGAAGTCGAATTTTGAAACTGTCCTAGTTTGAATACGCTTTCACAATCTAAACAGAAAAAGATATACAGTCAAAAGTCGTTAATCCGAACTCGTCGGGACTTCGGCGATTCCGGATTATCGATTTTTCCGGATTATAGATCATCAGTTTAAATCTGGTAAAATGGCATGCAGAAATTATAAAATTAAAAATATGAAACCGTAATTTATGAAATAAAGAACAATTATGATCTGAAGAGTATCAAAATTTACAAAAAAAAAAAAAAAAAAAAAAAAGGCTTAATATTTATTTCTTTACTTTATTAAACATTTCTTTTAATGTAAGTTGTTTAAGTTGCTTCGTTTTTTATGTGATAATACATTCTCTTTAATTCTTTAAACAGACATAATTTCTTGTTCAGTTACAAAGTTCCGCTATTCAAGTCCTATAATTGCTGTGTCGAGAATACCGACTAATTTGTCAATCGAAATTTTTTCGTTTTTAATAACCTCTGTCACTTTCTTCGCTATCAAAAGTGAATTATAATTACGAGGCATTTGATTTAAATTATATCAGAGTACATCGAGATGAAATACTACATTGAGTAAGCAATTATAAGCCAAATAAAATAAAAACATCTGCCCTTAAGATAAGGATAGTGCTGACAGATCAACTTCCAATTCATTGCACGCCGCTGCAGCATTAAAGATAAACAAAGGATATGCCTTTATCCATTTTTTGCAGCAATTCCACTTTTTGTTTAATGGACTCCGAAAGATACTTTCGCTTTGTATATCCTTTACATATTAGCAAATATATATCGGAAATTCTATTTGACATAATCGAAAGTTCAAGCTTACTTTTATAAAATTGCTCTAACAGTCTGCAAAAAATAATAATCCGGATCCAATTCGAAGATTAAGGAACAACGCAATCTGCAGCATTAACTGAAATAGATAATTAGATAATTTTAGCTTAGCTTTTCCCGTCCGTTATACATTAAACGCGCATTCGTAAACGTATTTTTCGCACGCAAATTCGCAGCGGTAAAGGTCTTACGCGCATGCGTCAATGAGACGCGTGCGCAGAAAGTTTGTAGCTTTGAGGTCGGGATTAAAGATCATTCCGGATTATGGGTGTCCGAATTAACGACTTTTGACTGTACTAACTGTGTAAACTTTTGGTCCAGTCCGCATGGCTTGAATCCTAGCTGCATAGCTAAGATCAGTTTGAAAGTAAACCATTTTGGACACACTAACTGACCAAACATGTGGCTTAGGAATAGTAAGCAATAGAAAAGAATCTTTTACTCTGATATTATAAAAGGCCTAAGGTTCTTTAAAATCATGATGTGTAAGGTTCTTTATATGCAGTTTTTTACTTACATAACTTTTATAATTAAGTATTGCTTTTTTTCCTCCAAAGTTTCTGAATAAGTGTAATATTTTTTACTTGTAGGCCTGCTGGGTGATGCATTATTTCTGTGAAATGAAATTTCGAAATGAAGCCAATTTGATTACTGCTCTTCAACTAACGCAGGCAGCTCTTTTAAATGACCAGGAATTACCAGTTAAAGTCGAAGCTGCTGTGGCTCTGCAGATGCTTATCACCAATCAAGAAAAAGGTATTTGGATTGAGCAATGGTTCTGAACCCTTTTTGTCTCATGTAACTTCTTTCACCATTTCCCACTCCTTTCTAAAACTTGAAAATACATAGATGTTTATTTAGATTTATGTTATTTCTAATGTGTTTCAAAAATTAAACAGCAAAAAGTATACAAGATGTTGATAAATACCAAAACTTTAATAAAAGTAAGTTTTTAATATTTATAAAGTAGAACTAAATACTTAACAGCTAAATAAAAGGCTGACTGCATTTCCCCCTGAAACTATAAAATTCCCTTCCAAAACAGCTAAATAAAAGGCTGACCGCATTTCCCCCTGAAACTATGAAATCCCCTTCCAAAACAGCTAAATAAAATGCTGACTGCATTTCCCCCTAAAACTATGAAATCCCCTTCCAACTGAAAACCTCTGGGATAAAGCATATTTTTATTTTATTGTGATAGACCAAATATAGTAAGTTAATAACTTTAATGCTGATATTGTCCAGAAGTTTTATTTAACTCTGTTATTACTGTATTTTTCAAGTTTTTAAAATCATGAAATATCAGTTTTTTCAAGTCTGCTGAAAGTTATTTTTAATTTAATATAGTTCAGCATAATTATAACAATCTATTGCAAATAAAATATTACAATATTAGTTTTCCTATTTATGTACTATCTTTTGTGTACTTCTGTGTTGTGTTTAGCTGTGAAGTTGGATAAAATCTTATAATATTGAAAAGTTTGGTACTTTCCATTTAACAATATGCCACTAACTATGCAAATGTTCCTGCAAAATCTAGCTGTAGATAAAAATTGTAACCCAAAGATGTATGCAGCTTCTTATAAGGTATGGTTATTTTATTAAATTCACGAATAAGAATACATGGTTATTCCAGTCAACAGTTGAAAGTATTTCATTTATGGTTGCAGTTGACAGAATTTGCCAGTGTGAACTCTTGAGACCAGAAATAAATAAACTTTGAATAACTATCAGAAAAGAAATATATGAACAAACTTTTGCTCTATAAGCTTTTTTCAGACATGATCCTTTGTTGCATTATCATTTTGATGCATCGGACATTGAATGATACAATTCTTTTTGTAGTTTTTCAAACAAAACTTTTCAGTATGAGAGATTTCTTTATCTCAAAAAAAATTTGATCAGCATTATTCATCATTCAACAACAAAATTGTGCAATTCATATTAATGTTCTTCAACAGCAAAAGCACCAAAAAAAAAAAAGTGAAGCAAATGAAAATCTGGTGGCGGAAAATAACCAAATTGATTTTCTTTCTCCCCACTTATTTGCAATGCTACTCATGAAGAGAAATAAAGAGGTTACTATATTTTATTTTATGCTTTGGCACGAACATTTTTACTTTTATCTGTGGTTTACTAGAAGGTCCCCCCTCCCAGTCATTTAAAATTAGTGTTTACTATGGAATGCAATTGAAATGTTATTAATGCTGATATTTTTTATTTAATATAAAGTATTTTTACTTCTTGAGTTTGTATTTATTGGAATGTTTATTCAATAGCTCAAAAGCATGTCGAACCTCATATAAAGCCCATTGCTTTGGAACTGCTGAAAATTATTCGAGAAACAGAAAATGATGATTTAACAAATGTTATGCAGAAAATCGTGTGCACGTATACGGAACAGTTAACGCCTATTGCTGTTGAAATGACTCAGCATTTGGTGAGTAGAATACATGTTGATTCTTTTGATTTAAGCTTAAATTATTGATGCAGGAATTCCTGTATTTATGAAGTATATATTGTTGTGTATGTAGAAGTCGTATGTATATTTTTTATAAGTATAAACAATGATAAAAAGTTATCATTGCTATAAATTTGACTTTTAAATGTATAAAGTTAGATATGTTTTGCAATCATCTAATAGTGAAACTTGAGACTTGAGAAACTTGAGAAAAGTATAAAAGTATAACTGAAACTTGAGAAAAGTATAAAAGAACTTTTTATTTAAAACTAAGAACTGAAGCACTCCTTGTGCTTACAAATCAGCCAGCCACTAGTTGCGATGTAACTTAAGAGTCAAATGTAAAACTTAATTTAAAAAAAGCTAGTATCCAAAGGCTACATAAATCAATTTAACGCAAAGATGTCTGAACTTAACTGGCATGGAGATTCAGTATTGGCGATGAAAGGCCGACAAAACAAATCTTATCTTAGCTTTAACGTAGCCTTGTGAGGCAGAACGTGCTCTGTCTTAAAATAAAATATCTGTTCAGGACACCACATGATTTTCTTGTATGGCATATTAAATTGTACACTTTTTTTTGCTGCACTTCATTTAAACTTATTTCCTCAAGTTTCATTAGACATATATTTCTTATTCGATCAGTTATTCAGTTCGATTTGGTCTCACTTCGTGAAAAGGTAAAAATACATAAAAAATTAAAACGCGTTCATTAAAAATTTTAAAATGTAGAAAAGGCTAACATCAGATACAGTTAAGGGGAACGAATTTGTAATTAATGTTTCTGTGCCAAACCAAGCAGAAAGACAAAAAATTTCGGTGCACAAAATTGAAGTTAACTTTTGGTAACACTGGGGCAAAAAGGCACTGAAATTGGTGCATCAGCTGACTTAATTCACTCTCCTACTAAGAGTTTCAAATGTAAACAAATGGTGGCCTCTGTTAGGCTTTGTGTCATTTTTAAATTATTGATAATTCATCAATAGCATGCAATAATGTATGGTATGCAGATTAACGAAGCCATGAAAATCCTTAACTGGAACATAAGAACAACATAATGCAAATACTTTTAAAAGCAAAAAATGCACAATTTTCCAGTCTGTTTGAATAAAAATATGTTATTTTTCTAATATGCAGAATTTACCAGCATAATAAAATATCAGAGCAGTTATGTATGTACATATATTTTTGGTGTGGCAGATCGCAATGATAAAGAGATGTGCGCAACTACATGTTATAGGAACAAAACTTCAACGTTCTATGGGTATTTGTTTTTGAGTTAATGCGAGATACATAATATGTACATACAAACATGAAAAAATTTCTTCTGAATCATTTTTGCAATCTTTTTTTTTTTTTTTTTTTTTTTTTTTAAAGAGTCCTTTATTCTGTCCGTACATATTGACGTCTTGGGAGGATGAACTGAACGGTTTCAGATTTTAAATTACGTCCAAAGGGACTTCTTTTAACATTTTGTTTGTTACCTTTATTTATTAAACATCATGTTCTTTGCACTTAATCCATAAAATTCAGTTCAATAGCAATGTCACAAAATAATTTTTAGAATTTTCGATACACAGTTCCGCACGCTGGAGATAAAAAGCCCCCTACCCGGTAGAGTGTTGCCATTGCTCGCTTTTAAATCATTGAGTTTGTTTCTCAAAAATTCATTAAAGTTTTACAAAATGTGACATTGATAATAAAACAAATTTCAAATTTGGTCTTCCAATGCCCATCTCCCTAGGAGGATTATGTCATTCAAAATTTGATGGTTCTGTGTACTGTTGTTTTATCACAGCGTGAGAAATATACATATATTTATGCAGATTTTTCATTATTTAATTTCTTCAAATATAATGCAGGACTCTAACATTTGGTGGCAACGGTTTGAAAAGTAATTCGCCGTTTATACTGATTCAGCGCAAAATCGCAAAACGAAGACAATAGTCCTTCAGGGACAAAGCACATTTGGACTAATTAAAAAAAAAACATTTAGATATATTCAAGAGCAATCAAAATGAATATTTTCATTTTACTTCATACAAAGGGGGAGTGACTCACTATAAATGCTCACAAACTAATTTCCATTCTGGCAGGAAAACGGAAGGCATAAGCGTCATTTAAGATACAAAACATGAAATAACTGGTTAATTAATGTAAAGGAACCTGACAAAATATTGAAAAAAAAGGCTCGGGAGAAACTTAAATACATATTTTAAACTCTGGGTACTTTGGTGTGTTCATTCTATTGAATAAGCTAAAAGTTCATTTCTGAAAAAAAATACTAGAGTTAAAGCATGTGTAAACTTAAGTGTGTTGTTTTGACAGAGAAATTTAATAGCTTTTGTGAGTATATGCATTTACTTTGATATATTTTCTTTGTAGTGAGAAAATTTGTTTTGTTCTTTTGATTTGAATGCTTCTTATTTATAATTAATTAATTATATATATATATATTTGCCTTTTTTATAAAAATATTATATGTAACAATTCATTATTAGAATATTTAGAGTAATGATATTCTTTCTATCATTACTTGATAGAGCCATGTATACTATGCAGTTCAACTATTTGTGTTATATGCTAAACTAATTTTTTTATAGGCACAGACATTTACTCATGTTATAAATAGTGGTGATGACAATTCTGATGAGAAAACGATCACAGCAATGGGTATCCTCAACACTATAGACACAATCTTATCAGTAATGGAAGATCATAAAGAGATAATGGCTCTTCTGGAACCAACAGTTTTAAATGTTGTTGGCTTAATTCTTACACAGAGTGTTATAGGTATGTTTGAAGGAGATTTCATTTCTTTAATAATACATCAGTAGGTTAAAATTAATTCATAAATTTATACAAGACACTCATAAAAATTAGTAAAATGTGGCTCTGTTTCATAAAATATGGATGTGGCTGTATCTCATAAAATATGGTTGTAGACAGTTATAGTTGCATAACAATGACACAGTTTCTTTAAATTGGCCAAGAATTCTGTGAGAATATATTCAGAACTAAGTATAGATTGGTTTTAGAAGTACAGAATTTAATTTTATAGTCCGCAAGGAAAAAAATCCTTAATCCATAATGTTTAAATGCAAAAATTTTGGTGCTTTTTGGGGCAGAATTTAGCAAGATGTTCATAATTAATATTTTCTCTAACCCAGTCTAAGCTAATAATGAGTGACTTATTCAATATGGTTTCAGTTCTTACCAAAATAAGTTAATTTTGACTTAAATGCCCACTAAGACCTAAGCCATGTTTAATTTTGGTATATCCTGTTAAATATGGTGTATTTTTATTGAACATATCTCATTAAGGTAATAATCAGTGCTTCATCTGTGTAATCAGTGCTTTTTGGCTTCATCTGCGTAATATTTGGAGATACTGTTAGGATTTTTTTCTTGAATACTGTTCGAAATACCCATATAATCAATCCCATATAGACTCTTTTGAATTATTTATGTTTTGATTTGGTTAGGTTATTTGAGTATGGCAAAGTACGCATTGGTTAGCTGCATTAGAGGTAATGCCTTTTTTGGAGGACTTTCGAAGGGAAACTGACTTGTAGACATGTAATATACAGTCAAAAGTCGTTATTCCGGACTCGTCGGGACTTCGGCGATTTCGGATTGTAGATCATCAGTTTAAATCTGGTAAGATGACAGGCAGAAATTATAAAATTAAAAATATGAAACCATAATTTATGAAATAAAGAACAATTATGATCTAAAGGGTATCAAAATTTACAAAAAAAAAGTTTGTGTTTTAAAAAAAGTGTTTTAAAAGCCTTTGTAACTTTTGCTATGCGGTTTTAGTTCAAAAGATATTTTGTCACGTATTATATAAAAGCAATTTTCTTTAAAGCCTTCTTGACCCTGATTATATGAACTTTTATCGGCCTCATCATGATGAACTGTATCAAAAATTTCAGTTTTCACGGCCTTTAATTAGTTTCAGAAAAAGTTTTTATTTCTGGCACATTTCACCTCTACTTTTATTCCGATATTACTATTTCTTGGAATGTTAGTAGTTTTACAGAACATTTCTGAGATTCATATAGAGAGATAAGGCTGTGGCAAGCATTGTTCCATGTAATATGGACAACAACAAGAAGTAGGACTGTTTACTACCACATTTAACAAATGCATTGGTAAAAAATATATATATATATGTTGGTATTTCATCTTCTGATACATAACACAGTATAGAAGTTAACTGGTCTATGTGTGCTATATCAGGAGTAGAGTCAATTATAAAATATTTTTTATTTTTTGTTCAATATTTCAATAAATTGATCACAAATAGTTGACAAAAGATAACTCAGATTGCCTCTTCGAATTGACCTAAAATTTTTTTTATATGCCAAACTAAAAACTCATCATATTCAGCCAAATATTCTAGAGCTTCTATGTAATTTCCACTATGAGAAGCAGAAAAGAGTTCATTCATCCAAGAAATCCAAGAGAGTTTTTAGCCAAAAAATTTTTTGTCGCTACTACCCATAGCAGTACTTTTCTCCAATTTTTTATTTATTTATTTTTTCTAAATACTGTTTTTCAACGGTAATATCTATACGTCCCTCAACTAAATTTCAATAGAATGTATATGATGGATAGGATTTTCATGTTCTTACATTTGCATTTTTCCAGTCCGAGTATCCTTCTATAAAAGTTGTTAGCTTAATCGAGAATATCTTGCAAATATAGCCTTAAATTATGTTACTTTTTGGACTGTACACTAACCCTTCCCGTTCAACTTTTTCACTATTTGCTTTATTGCAATATATATATATATATATATATATATTTTCTTTAATGACCGAGTTACAGTTTTCCCACCTTCTGTTACTACATTTTCAGTGGTATTTATAAATGAAATATTTGATAGTGGTTTATTTTTAAGCAAATAATGTTGTATGTCTGTTGTAAAATTAAAGGTCACAAAGAAATGTCAAAATTTTCCAAACTGAAGTATCATTCTGTATTTTGAATTTCTTCATCATCACTTGCATTTTGGTTTTTCTCCGCAATACCTGGTATGCCTTCTGTGTTTTTCATTTCTATTACTTTAATTGCTGTTTGATTGCTTTCTGTAATTTCTGCGGGTAGTTCCTAGTTTCCAGAGCATTCTTCAACTTTTTTTATAATCTTTGCTTTGGACTGAACTTCTGCATCAATATTATCTGTTTTTGTATTAACAACATATTTAAGCAGAGGTTTTTTTTTTTTTTTTCCCCTACATTTTCTTCTAACACTTTCTTTTTTCGCCACCGGAAATGTGACTATAATTCATTTTCATTTTACATAAAAAGCTGCTTCAAAGCTGCCCAGAAACTTTAAGAACCAAAAATCATCTCTCTACTCTTGGTATGTTTAATGTTTTTACTAGACTTCTGCACATCATACAATATGCTTCCAATATCAGCTGTCGCGCCCCACCAATATCACCTACGCTTCCAATATCAACTGTCACATTGTTTATATCAACTAGTCAGCCTTGCAAACTTAGTAAAGTTTTGTTCATGTACATTGGACCATTTATATCAGTACATCTTAATAAAAAAAAGGAAACCTGTAGATTTATTATATATTTTGTGAAATAAAAGGAAACTTTAATTTTTACTTTTTTTTCCAAAGTGGACGGTTTGATGGGCCCATCCAAAAACCGGGCCCTAGACATTTCTCTTTATTAGACTATGCTATGGTCAGACTTGCTTATATGTTGATGAATTGTGCATTTGTGTGTGTGTGTGTGTTAAAGTGATTGAATTATGTTGTTTTTTATGTTCTAGTTAAGGTTTTCATGGCTTCAGTTAATCTGTATCCAATATAGATGCAGGATTAGATATTCTGAACTTTTACCTTTGTTCTTATATGTATAATGTGTGTTTTAAAAAAATTTTGAAAAATGTTTTTCTCCCTTAGAATTTTATGAAGAGTCAATGTCTTTAATATACAGTTTATCATCGAATAACATTTCCCCTGACATGTGGAAAGTTTTTGAGCTCATGTATCAGACTTTCTTAAAGGATGGGTTTGATTTCTTTACAGGTAATGTATGAATAATGTCAAAATATGTAAATATTCTTAAACATGTATAAATAATGTTTAAAGGCATTGTATGTAAAGTATGTTAACAATTGTTATTTTTTATCTTTCTCGTGTTATTGTGAAACAAATCATGCATATGATGTCTTTTATCTAATAATATGCAGAGAAATCTTAAAGCAGTTTTGTATTAAAAAATTTCTGCAGTTGTGTCAGATTATTTCTAGCTTTTTCATGATGTAAAACTCCTAGAGATATTTTTACAATGGGTATATTGTTTAAATCGCCTCTGCATTAAAATAGTGAGGGTCCTTTTATTAGTTTATAGTAGAATTATATGTGTCAGTTACTTTATATGTATTAGTGAAATTCTTTCAGACACTGCTGCCTTTCCAGGAAGAATATGTTAAAAAATGAGACTTACTTTGAATGTGGCTTGGCCTGCTCTGTATATAACACATCATTCAATAAGTCCCGAGACTAACTAAGAAAACGACATCCATTTCACAAATTTCACGTTTATTCATCAACATAATCACCATGAAGAGCTATGCAATCATTCCAGTGCTTTTCTAACTTTCCTATACCATGCATGCAAAACAGTTGGTCCTTGTCTTATATATTTTAATTTATATATATGCATATATTTAGCTGTTACATAGTGTGGACTTGGAAGATCCACTATTTATTTAACTCCTACATCTCCACATATGCCCTTTTATTTTCTCCATAAAAGCGAAAATTACTTTTGATAAAAACACCATTCCGTCCCCCCCCCCAAAAAAAAGAATGTAAATAAAAGTGCTGAGTTTATTGTAAATGTATCTTGGACATTTTGCGTGGCAGTGTGGGATTTACGGAAAAAGGACTTAACATCGATGACACTAGCAGGTAATTAGATGTAATTTGAAAAGTACTATGCAATTTGCTTTGAAATTTAAAGAAACTTTCAAAAATGCCAAATTTTGTTAGATGGAGTTTCTGTATTGAATTTTATAGAGAAAACTGAAACATATCTGAATATTTCAAATGGTTCTATGGGAAAAAGCAACATTGATCATGAAGAATAGCATATTCACTTTATCTTCCCCCCCAAACATGTTCTAATTTGTTTAGCATTTTAGGTTAAATTTTTAATGAATTTTCCTTTAACAAAAATAAAGAACTACCAGTACTCTGAACCTTCATGTACATAAGCTGCTAACAAATATCTTGGTGAGTATTGTCAAATTCGTGTTAAAAAATAAGTATGAAAATGGATACTATTACTGATTTTCTGTAATTAAAATGGATTTCTGCCTTATACTACAGAAATGGATTTGATGAAAATTGCTATGGAAAATGTCAAGTTTGAACTACATAAATGCTCTATGTGAGTGGCAAAAATGAAAGATGAAAACTTAATGATTGTGTTGATATCATAATCATATCATATTGTCTTCAATGATCCATGTTTCAAATCTATTCAAGCTTTTGTACTCATGTAATGTGAGCTATGTCAAACCTTAGTATGTTATTCTTGAACCCATAAATATGCATGCGGGTGATTATTGCATATAAAAACTATTGTGATACAGTTTTGTAAATTGGATAAAAGTGTACAGTATGTTGCTGAAAATGCTGTGAGGGGAGGATTTTGTGGCGTAGATGGATGGAAATACACCTGTGACAGCAGAATTTATTTCCATCTATCATAGTAATTCTGATTTGCAGTTTATACTGAAAATAGCAGTAATCAATTGTTTATTGTCCTAATTTAACATAAAATTCTTTAAAACTTTATTTTTGATAATAAACATAATCAATTGCTTATTTAGAATTAACATAGTATACTACCATAATTTTACTATTTATTAAAGTGATAAATAACATTGCATTGCAGTCTTGCATTTTTATCTCATGTATCTTAAATATTTTGAAAAAAATTTAAGCTTTGTCATTGATAAAAATAATAATAAGAAAAAAAATTAATATAAATTCACACTGTGGAACACTGCTAGTTGCACATTTTATTCCTTTAGAATCTGTTAACAGGCTATTTTAACATTTTGAAAGTTTTAAAGCTCTTCTTATCTGATGAAATTGCTGATTATTTAAATTCTTAATTTCACAACATTTCTTCGCAGGTAGAAAATGCTGCATATAAATACTGTTGGGTCTTTACTAATAGCTTTCCACCCCCTTTTTTTTTTCACTAATGTATTCTTTTAAAAGAATCTCTTCGAATGCATGTACTTCACAAATTTAATAGTAAGATTTATTAAGTCACAACCATTAAAAGCTGGTTCTGATGATGAACCAGTTCTTAATGTTGACTTTTGCAGAGGAAAAAAGTCAGAAAGTTATAAACAATGCTAAGACTAGCATTTATATTGTAGAAAAGAATCTTATGTCTTCACAGTTAAGTTAGTGTTATTCCATTGTAGGGGGATTTTAGAGAGTAGACTGTGGCTCCTACATCCAGAAAATACTCTTCCACTGAATTTCTAAAGCATGCAGAAGCAGTGCATGTTTCTTGGAATGTTTCATTTTCTTGCGTTCAGTGTGTAGATTGTAAATTGTTGTTCATAAACTTTTCTGTTGATATTGACCAACTGGAAATCAGTGTGATTTTGATGAAGAAGCTCCTGCTGCTTCTTGAACAGATGTCACATTACCCAGTATTGTGAATGCAAAATAATGTTGACTATTTTATGTGTACCTCACAGTGATTGCTCTGACTGAAAGGATTTTTAGCATTATGCCAGAGAATCAAATAATCCATATTTTATGACTGCTCCTTTCAGTAATGTCATTCCAGAAAAACTTCTGTAATAATTTTCTGTTACTCTTTTGGCAGTGTAAAAAAGGGATGCTATTATCAGTTATTTAGATAATACTGGCCCCTTTCTTTGCCAACAAATTTTCCTTATTATTTCCACGAAGGCCTCAGTGGGATGTTATCCATTGCATAGCAACTTTGCCATCCTGAGCTAAGTTGTTTAGTGACTGCTGACATTTTAAAACATCAATAGATTCAAAAGAAGAAATGGCTAGAAGAGCAGCTTTAGAATCAAAGAGTATGACAACTTTTGAAAAATATTCAAGGTGACATTGGAGGTGGGATAAGCCATTGTGTATGGTTGTAATCTCAACATCAAAAGCAGTCCTATTCCTTCCAGCAGGGTTGTAAAATTTTCACTCACTTTGAATATTTTTGCAAAGACACCAGCACCTCAGTTGGCACTGTTGTCCAACACAGAGCCATCCGTAAACACATGCTGCCATTCACTCTCAGATTATAAAGTGTTAATAGTTTCCAAAGACATAGATTTTAAAGTTTGGTCATTTGTTTCTTTTTTGAGATTTTCTTGTAACATATTGTTTCTGACTACATATTTTCTTTTATCACGTGGACATTGTGGTTTCACAAAATCGATAGGTTCCCATCTAAGGCCTAGCTGATCTCTGATAGAAAAGACTGTCTAAAGAAAACCATTCTGAGTTTTGAGGTTTCTCACTGTTGGTAAAAGCAGCAGTTCTGCAAGACAAAGCAGTCTGGTTCCCTTCTGAGTTTTAAGGTTTCCCACTGTTGGTAAAATCAGTAGTTCAGCAAGAAAAAGTGATCTGGTTCCCTTAAGTTTTTTTCCTGTAGAATTAGTGCTCTTTCTTCCACACTGGATTTAATGCACCTGTGTTGTGTGTAGTTAGTAAAAGTGCATCAACTGGGGGGGGGGCTTTGATACGAAATCTTTCAAGTGTATCAATCACTTGGTTAGATGCTGTCACGAGGGGCTTGCATTCAGGATAACTTAAGCCATAAGTTTGAACAAGCGGGGAGCAAAGTTTACCTTGTCAGGGACAGTAATGTGGAGGAATATTTTTTTCAAAAGTGTTTATTTCTTTGTGAGTACTGTGCCTTTTATACGTTGTATCATCCCGTTTATGCATCCGAACCTCTTCCCTCTCATCTGTGAAACACTCAGTTGTGATTGTAATTCAGTTAGGTATTGCTGATATGCTGTTATAAATTGATAGCTTGTGCCGTTAGGTGGCGCTCCAAGCATCTTGTCTCTTGATATTCTAACTTAATTTTAATTTGATGGAAGAATGAAGGTGTTAAGCCTAATAATGATGAAAGTGTGTGCCTAATAATAATGCTTGTAAACCATTGTATTATATTGTAAATAAAACGTGTGTGTATTAATAACAAAGCAGAATTATCACTTACCTCTGAAATTAATGCTCTCTGATGGTATTGGAATTAGTTACTATGTGTACTCCCCTTAAAAAGTCAATGTCTCGGCTTATGCAACCAAATACTTCAGAAACATTTTTGTATTATTTAATGATAAAATCAATTTATTCTGTCTAATTTTGTACTTGCAGATATGATGCCTGCTCTTCACAATTTTGTCAGAGTGGACACACAAGCATTTGTCAGTAACGAAAACCACCTTTTAGCAATATACAATATGTGCAAAGCAGTAAGTTAGCTTTTAAGTATCATATTGATTATGCATATTTATTTTTGCATTTCATTTCAGGAGAAAAATACAGTATATGAAAATTGAAATTTCAAATTAATTTAATTTAGTAAATTAATGATTGTTTTCCTTAAAAGAATAAAGAATTTGCATGCATTTCTTGTTTTCCACTTTCCCCCCTTTTCTTCTTTCTTTCCTTTGTACTTATATATAACAGTAGTTTTAATATCAGTGAAGGTATGTTTAATGTTAAAAAGAGGTTTTTTATATTTCTCAACATTTATTGGGTAAGAAACATCAATTTTGAAATCATTTACAGTAATTTTTTTAATTGTGCCAGTTGATGTATATTTTATCTTCATATAGATTTTAAATGGTGAAGCAGGTGAAGATGCTGAATGTCATGCAGCAAAGTTATTAGAAATAATTATATTGCAGTGTAAAGGAATGATTGATCAGGTATAATTGAATACATAATTTTGTGTTTTTTACTAAAATGCTAGTTCATTTAATGTATTTTTAATGCTGTAATATCATTATAAGGAATATTACTACCTCTCCCTTTAAATCAAATTTTTATGAGCATTCATAATTTTTTCAGAATGATAGTATTATGATCTTATGCTTATTTTTTTATTTATTTATTTTTTTTTTTTTTTTTTTTTTTTTTTTTTTTTTTGGGAGGGTGGCTAAAGAAGTCAGAATGTCTCACTTTGAATATTTGTAACAAAATCTTTTATTTTAAGTGAATACTTTTATCAGATAATTGAGTTACCATTTTATGTCCGTTTTGTTACATCAAAAACAAGTTTTTTTTAAAAAAAATTGTTCTATATCTTTTTGGAGGAGTGATTAATTCTACTGTGTTTGCTAGGTTTTGCAACATTTCAGTATTTTGGAAATTTTAAGATAAATATGTTGTTGAAAAATTTAGAGATTTTTTAAAATTTTATTATAATTTCTTTGGTAATAGCGAATAATTTTATTATATCATCAAAATAATGAATATATTAAAATTGTGACAGGTTTTTAAATGATTGCGAAACTGAAATGAGGTAGTATGGTGTCTTAATTTAAGCTGGAGTGAAAAAGGCTATTGTAAATACATTTTGCTGTTTGATTTTCTGGAAGCCCTCCTCCCCTTCTTCCAGTCTGTTGCAAAGTATTCAGATATTTTTATTTATTGTTTGTTAAATTTGTTTTATACTTTTTTTTTCTTTAATTTTCTAAGGAGTCTGCTTTTTACTTTGCAACTGGCATATCTGTTTTTAGATTTATTATTATTATTATTTTTTTAATTTTAAAGCTCTGCGGTATTTGGTTCTTTATTTAAAACCATTGAAATACACTTTTACTTCATAGTGATAGGCTTGATGTGATGAATTATGAAAATGTATTATCAGGTAATAATATACTTTTATGAACTATTGACCCATAGAAGAAATGTAGGTCGTTGGAATGTGTAAATTTTGCACGAGGAAATTGCATAAAGTGTTATAAATGCAGTGAACAAAAATTATGTGCAAACAAAACAATTTAATTTTTGTTTCTCAAATTTTATTTATGATTGTTCATGTCTTTATAATATACATGCAGGTTCATTTTTTTGAAATGGAATTGCTGTTACCTTTAATTTGGACCAACACATTAATTGGAAGTTAATTGATTCTTGTGAAATTGTTTACCTTGCTGAATATACAGGGTTGCCACGCTACCTGGAAAACCGGGAGAACCGGGAAAAGTCAGGGAATTCGAAAATTGACCAAAAAATTCAGGAAACAGTCAGGGAATTTAAGTACTTTTGTCAAAATCTGGAAAAGTCAGGGAAGTTCATACAACGATCCCGCCAAAAAAAGCGATTTTTGCGCCAACGTCGGAAGAGGTAACTTTTTTTGGCGAATTATGTATCACGTGAGTGTCATTCGGGCAGCTGGCATAGAGCCAATTTTCGCAGCTCCAATTTGATTGTCTTTTAGAAAGGCAAAGCAAGTTTCCCGCAACTTTTGGTTTCCAGTATTCTCGAGAATCGCATGTGCAGTGCATGAACTAAAGAAAGTACCTGTTTCTCGTATAAAACAAAATGGGTTTAATCCTAGTATACGGTACCATGGACGTTTGAATCAAAGAATATGTATTGTAAAGAAGGAAAACCTCTCTCTGCAACTTACGTGGCTCCGTTCCATCATAGAGGGAAATAGCTGTGCATGCGGTGATATATCTGTCGCCAAAGCTCGAAACCGGTGTCGAAGTTCGAAGGTCAGGTTATCAAGAGTTCATAAAATGAATATCGTTTAAAATTTCTTCAACCACTTGCGCTAAAAAGACGTGCCACGCACGTCGAGATGCTTTTGTTTCAAAGCGCGAGCGACGTGAACACCACATCGATAAGCATTTATCGCAAAAATGAAAATAACGTGATGCACACGTCGCCTAACAACGAGATTGTTTATTTCTCGAGTTACAGCTCTGGATTGCACTCGCAGATGCGGAGCAGCGTAAATGAGACACTTTACCGCTTGTTATATTGTAGCGCACGGCACCGCGACCGTGAAGTTTAGTCTTAGCGCAAGTGGTTAAACTCTAAAGGAAAAGAAAATATTTTTTGGCGCAAGTAAATTAATTCATGGATTAGTTATTTTCAGGGGGGGAAACTACGAAAATCCGTTTTTATAATTATTGCGAAAAATCCAAGAAGAAACGTCCTTTGATAAAACGTTTCTTCTTGGATTTTTCGCAATAATTTAAAAACTGATTTTCGTAGCTTTCTTTTTGTCAAAGAACATTTCTTCTTAAACCGTGTTTCTCAATTTCGGTGCACATCGCGGAGAAGGAAATTCTGGCCGCCAGGTTCCGTTGCCAAATCCCTTGGCAAATTTTCCCTCCGCATTCTAGCGGCGTAATAGCATTTTACTTGTATGGAACCTTTTCTTCTTTACATAGACGTTCTTTGGTTAGAATAATCTCCATGTATGGTACAATGGGATTTGGTGACACGATGATGCGCAGTAAACGGGTCATTTTGGTCTTGGCGACAATTTTCAAAATCGTGCCAAAACCTTACTGTATACTAGAATTTTACCGCAAAATATTTTTAAACCTTTTTTTTTTAAATAAATACCTTGTCATTTTGCAGTAAAATAAAAAAATAGTAATCAGTCATCTAGGCTAACCATGTAATATAACTAACTATATTCGCTAAAATATCGTTGATTATTCTAATTCAATTTTAAGTAATTAGCTTTATTTTTATGTTATTCGTATAATTTAATGTTGCTTCTTCCCTCTAAATTTATTTATTATTAGTAAATAATATTTTCAAATTTCAGGAAATTTTCTCTGGCATAATCCTGAAATTAATTCTAGCAGTATGATGACATACAATCACGAAATTTAATGCACATATTTTTTCATTACGTATGCTGCGAAATAAATATAAAATACCTCAATTTATTAAAATAGATTTCTTTCTTTCGTTTAGCTGCAGAATGTCTGCAAAAAAAAAGCCTTATTTTATTCTAGATTGGGAAGATTCTAATCTCAATCTTCAGTGAAGAAAACAACAACTATTATAATTATATTTGTGTTTTAAAGTGTTAAAGTGCCTTTTAAATTTACCTAAAATCTAACCTAACTATTTAGCATTGCGTTGTGATTTATAAGGACCGGATTAGCCTCATGTGGAACTGGTGATGATCATGAGTAATAATTAAATAAAACATACATTTGTTATCCAATGTATATATCTTAAATTTTATTAAGTTTCTTAAGTGGAAAAGTAAACAAAATTATCAAACAAAGTATACCAAGAATAATTAAGAATAAATGTCCTCTGGGATTTATTGAATAATTAAGTGAATTTGCTACACTATACAAGTAATACCGTAATTAATTTACCTCTTAGCACAGCCAATGTACATAACGCGGATAGACTGGAATTTTCTTGAAACACACCTGGAAAACCTGGAAAAGTCAGGGAATTTTATTCTCCTGTTTGAGTGGCAACCCTGAATATAGCATTTGTTGTGTAAGTTTATAATATTCATTGTAGTTTTAATTCATTTCAGTGTATTCCTTCATTTGTTGAACTGGTTTTAGGACGATTAACTAGGGAAGTTAAAACATCGGAATTAAGAACAATGTGTTTACAGGTAAGAGAAAAAGTTCTTTTTGCTGGACATTAATTGTTACTTAGATATTATAAATTATTTTATAATTTTTTTATTTCATATGTCATATTGTGTTTTAAAAATTATGATTTCTTTAGAGTGAAATTTGCATGATCGGTTTGGGGTGGGTGTAGGAGAATAATTAAGCGGCATTTTTTAAATTTCAGTTGGGAAATAAAAATTTAATGAATATAATGATTCATTTATTCATTAAATGCTTTAATTCTTATTTTTGTGTGATTTATGGTCATTAAAATAGCAAATGAAATCTAAAGATATATTTGGGATAAAATGTGTAATGTACGTGCTAAAATATTTTCACTGATTACTTGACTTAATGATGAATATCATTAATTATTTTTTAAACTGTACCATTTTATGTGTTTGAAATTTTTTTGGCATGTTTAAATATCCAAATGCAATCAATCTGTTTTAGAATTAGTATTATTATTATTTTCCCCTGTTTTCTAGGTTGTCATTGCAGCATTATACTACAATCCTACTCTTCTATTAGAAACACTAGAAAAAATTCATATACCTAATACTTCAGACTCTATAACTTCACATTTTATTCAACAGTGGATACATGATACAGATTGTTTTCTTGGGTAAGAATTTTAATGTTTAGTTTATGAAAACTGGTTCAAAAGTCAACAAGAGTAGATGTATGTTAATCACTATTAGTTCTGTGTTAAGCATATAGTATGTGATTGTTTATTACATATAAAACAGCAACTTTTAACCCTCTCACTGCGCATCCCGTGATTTCCACGGACAATGTAGAAATAGCAAAATTTGCGTAACCCGCAATTTTCGCCTCTGTATGGCTTTGGAAATGTTGAACAGACCGGAATCACTTGAGAAAGGATACAGATGGAAATCATTGGGATAGCGATCAAGACTGTATGGCAAATGTTGAAATATTTTCCATCAGACAATTCCTCAAGTGCTATGCATTTATGGTTGTCCACTATGCTTCTCTTCATGCATATTTTGTTGGCTTTCTGAAAATTTACTGCATCAGTGATTGACTATACCGAAGAACAAATCCTACATATGCTTGTTCATAAAGTCCAGTTCATATAACAGATGGAAGTAGTTAATTTCAGTTGGAACTGTATTTAGTATATCCAAAAGTTTGATCACAGATTAACACCTATAAGTACAAATTGGTCAATTTGACCAATGGCATTTTAACATTCTGATATTGGCAACACTGGTTGACACTGGATCTCAGGGAATTAGTGAACTTTACATTACACCAGTATATAATACGTCAGTGTTTGGTAACAAGTTTTCTGCTTTTACAAGTTTCAAAATTGTTATACATTTATTATCAGCCATGTTTAATAAGCTTCGTTTATTAATTTAAATGTTCTTTAATTTTTTATTGCTTTGTGATGTTTTTTAAAATATAAGGGTAAAAAAAACATTTAAATGTATACATGGTCAAAATGATCTCAAGTGTTCCATTGTATTATGATGAACATGTGTTCTTATAGGTTTTTAACCTTGCAGTTTGCTGGGGAGGGAATAAAAGTGCAGTGTTCAGCTACTGTGATAATACGTTTGTAAGGAATTAGGAAATACTGTCTGGTGCACAAAATTGCTGTGTCATGAACCTCCCTACATGCACAGTAGTACCGAAGAACAAATCCTACATTCTGTGGACATGATGAAAACTTAATTTTGTAATGCGCTTTCAATAAGATATACCGATTGATTATTTTTGTCCTTTGTAAAATAAAAAAAGCTATGTTTCTTTTAAATTGCATTAATTACTTTTTAAATTTTAATAAGGCTGAATGTGAATGAACATACATAGTGTGTTTGAAACCTCTTTGTAAATGGGAAAGATAAAACATTAAGTTTGATTACCAGAAATTTGCTGGAAGGATTTGTCTTTCTTAAGTGTTGCATATTTATTTTATTTTGTTTTTAAACACTCTGAACTATTATTTTTAAATACTATTCAAAGATGAATACAGTAAATTTGTGATTTTTTTAAAAAAAATTTGACATTTTGCATTTTTCTTCCCTAGCTTACACGATCGAAAAATGTGTGTATTAGGATTGTGCACATTGGTATCTACACCAGTTTGTAAAGCAAAATTGAATAATGAAGTGGTTCAAAAAGTGATTCCCTCTATGTTACTTCTATTTGATGGTCTAAAACGAGCTTATGCCTGTAAGTAAAAATTATGATTATTTTGAACATTCTGTTGACTTTAATTTAAAAAAAAAAAAACTATTTATACTGTTTTTACTTTGTTACTCTGATTTTGACTGTCAATTCCTTCATTTCAACCTTCAGCATGTTTTGAATTTCTGTTGTACATATTACAGAAAAATATTAACTTACTGTTCACCAGAGCTATCAAATGTCCTCTGACTTTTTTTTTTTAAATTTTATTTATTTTGTGACTTTTTATTGATTTTATTAGATTGCGCTTTTTCAAGGCAGCCTTATAAAACAGGCAGTCTTTTTGTATTACAGTACACTCCCGATTATCCGCGGAATTGGGTGGCGCGACCGCCGCAGATAACAAAAATTGCGGATAATCCGAAAAAAGCTAAAAACGGGTACAGCAAAAGAGAAAACAGTCATTCCAACTTTGAAAAATCGTAAAATAAACAGCAGAAAATGTTTAACTAACGCTTAATATTTTAGTATATCACTCAAAACTAACCTAAAATGCATTTTGTTAATGAAAACAGAAAAGTGCATTGTACTTACGAGAGGCGTCAAGGATACACAGAAAAATTAATACATATGTACTCTTTTAATATTGTAATGTATTATGTAATTACAAAAGCATAACTGTAAAACTACACCTTTTTGAAGAAATCATTCATTTGTGTTTACTTCTTGCTTTGGAAGCATTTTCTCTTGATCCGAGATTGCATTTTTCGTAACATAAGTTTCTCGGCCAACTCCACATCGTCTTGTTCTTCCAAATAGCTCAGCAGTTCGTCGACTTGTTGCAAAGCCCCTTCAGGAGTCTTCCGCATCTGCACAGTGGGCTCTTCTTCGCTGTCCTTCATTCTCGGTCTCTCCCCTTGGTTTCTTCACAATTTCGTCATCTGTCAAGCGTTTGAAGCCAGGTTCGTTGACATCACACTCCAACAACTCGTTAATGTTTTCAGCATCGGCGTTCTCACCACCCGGAACTGTTTTCACCATATCGGCAAGAGTTGCCGTGGGCGTGTCTACATCTTCATTCTCTTCTTCACAATATTGATGCAAAGTTCACCAGTTTGTCTTTTTGCTTTAGAATGTCACGCACTGTTGTTTCCGATATTCCGTAATCTAATTCCATCTGCTGCCTTGTAGCGCCGTTTGCTACTTTGGAAATTAATTCTCGTTTTTGCGCTATCGCCAAAACAACCTTCTTTCGTTTTCCTGACATTTTAAATCCATAACGAAAAACACAAAACCAAAAAGCACAAGCATTGAACAAAATAAATGATAAGAAATTAACTCCGACCGGTTCGCAAACACTATCCGGCTTAAACTAACAATGGCGAGTGGGAGGAAGTGTACATGTCAGTAAGATTTAAGACGAGAGAGGCCGGTGGAGCAGGCACTGCAAGGGTGAGTAAGAAATCACCTACTCATCAGAAGTGAAGGTTCCGAGAAGGTCTGGGATATTTTTGCCATAAATAAGCATGATGTTAGCAAATTGGACGTTTCGCTCAGTTTTGTGAAAAATTTTATTTTCTTTGCTTTACGCTTGTAAAAGAAGAAAAAAGAAACTTTGTGCGGCAGGCACGGATAATCAGGAGTCTAATGTATTTAAATGCCTATTCACCTCTTGTCACATGGAAGTGGTATTACCCTTTAGTCACAGTATTTTCTTGTCTTCAGTAGACTTATTTGCATATTAAAATATCCTTTCTGAGGAAGCTGGCCTGAAATTCCTTCACTTTAGGGTTTTAGACATTGCAGCTTGGCAAGTTTAAAAGGATTTGAATGCAAGATTTATAGATCCACGATTCTAGAAGATTCAAGAAATATATGACAAAGATGTCTCCATGGTATCAACACATAATGGATACCAGTTCAAGTAATGGATGTATTTTACAGAAAATTTGCACTGAATTTCTTACTTTTTGGAGAACGTCTGGAAGAACAATCAAAACATAATATTTGAATGTTTTACTTATGATGCTAGAATCTTAACATGTCTATCTTCCCTTTATTTTCTCTTTTTTTCACTAGACACAAGCATGGAAAATATCAAAAATGCTTCTAATCGTATCACTTGGGCAGTCATTATAGAAAGGGATTTTTTTATTAATAAAGAAATTGAAAACTTACAATTTAAAAGATTCATCTGATATGTCTTAATGCATTATACACATAGCTGGCACTAGGCATTTTCCCACCTGATGCAATCTCTGTGGATTCTAAATTCTGCTGCCTAGTGCCTTTCTAAATTCTGCTTCCAGTGCCTGCTGTAAATTCTAAAAATTCTGCCACATCAGCTCTGAAACCAGTCTCTACCATATATATTTCATATTTCTTCTGAATGTTCATATTACTAAAGTAAAATTATCTGCTTTTTCTGAACATTCTAAATGCATTTAGTGTGTTTTAGAATAACAGAAACCCTTAATTAAATCCAAAATTCTAAAATGAAAAAGAAACATGTTGAAGAAAGAAACTGATTACGTAAAGAAAATTATTCTTCAAAGATATATGCAGTTATTATTATGTAAATTACCCAATTATTTATGATTTCAGCCTTTACTATAATTTCATTTCTATTTCCTCATATGATAGTTATGAGAGATAAATAAATTTTGTATATCTTTGACACTAGTCCACAATATTATTTGAATTTGACTGTTCTTTAATTGCTCACGAGCTGTAATTTTTTAGATCAGAACATGCCTTTATGTTTTAAGTTCTTAAATAAGAGGCTTATTTCAGGGTTGCCACGCTACCTGGAAAACCGGGAAAAGTCAGGGAATTCGAAAATTGACCAAAAAATTCAGGGAAAAGTCAGGGAATTTAAGTATTTTTGTCAAAATCTGGAAAAGTCAGGGAAGTTCATACAATGATCCCGCCAAAAAAAGCGATTTTTGCGCCGACGTCGGAAGAGATAACTTTTTTGGCGAATTGCCTATCACGTGAGTGTCATTCGGCTGGCATAGAGCCAATTTTCGCAGCTCCAATTTGATTGTCTTTTAGAAAGGCAAAGCAAGTTTCCCGCAACTTTTGGTTTCCAGTATTCTCGAGAATCGCATGTGCAGTGCATGAACTAAAGAAAGTACCTGTTCTCGTATAAAACAAAATGGGTTTAATCTTAGTATACGGTACCATGGAGGTTAGAATCAAAGAATATGTATTGTAAAGAAGGAAAACCTCTCTGCAACAGACGTGGCTCCGTTCCATCATAGAGGGAAACAGCTGTGCATGCGTGATATATCTGCCGCCAAAGCTCGAAACCGGTGTCGAAGTTCGAAGGTCACGTTATCAAGAGTTCATTAAATGAATATCCTTTAAAATTTCTCTTAACCACTTGCGCTAAAAAGACGTGCCACGCACGTCGAGATGTTTTTGTCTCAAACTGCGAGCGACGTGAACACCACGTCGATAAGCATTTATCGCAAAAATGAAAATAACATGGTGCACACGTCGCCTAACAACGAGATTGTTTATTTCTCGAGTTACAGCTCTGGATTGCACTCGCAGATGCGGAGCGGCGTAAATGAGACACTTTACCGCTTGCTATATTGTAGCGCACGGCACCGCAACCGTGAAGTTTAGTCTTAGCGCAAGTGGTTAAACTCTAAAGGAAAAGAAAATATTTTTTGGCGCAAGTAAATTAATTCATATTGGGTTAGTAATTTTCAGGGGGGGAAAAAACTACGAAAATCCGTTTTTAAAATTATTGCGAAAAATCCAAGAAGAAACGTCCTTTGATAAAACGTTTCTTCTTGGATTTTTCGCAATAATTTAAAAACGGATTTTCGTAGCTTTCTTTTTGTCAAAGAACGTTTCTTCTTAACACGTTTCTCAATTTCCGGTACACATCGCGGAGAGGGAAATTCTGGCCGCCAGGTTCCGTCGCCAAATCCCTTGGCAAATTTTCCCTCCGCATTCTAGCGGCGTAATAGCATTTTACTTGTATGGAAACCTTTTCTTCTTTACATAGACCAAAGAATTAGAGATTCTTTGCATAGACGTTTTTGGTTAAAATAATCTCCATGTATGGATTTGGCGACATCATGATGATGCGCAGTAAACGGGTCATTTTGGTCTTGGCGACAATTTTCAAAATCGTGCCAAAGCCTTACCGTATACTAGAATTTTACCGCAAAATCTTTTTAAACTTTTCTTTTTTTTAATAAATACCTTGCCATTTTGCAGTAAAATAAAAAATAGTAATCTGTCATCTAGGCTAACCATGTAATATAACTATATTCGCTAAAATATCGTTGATTATTCTAATTCAATTTTTAAGTAATTATCTTTATTTTTATGTTATTCGTATAATTTAATGATGCTTCTTCCCTCTAAATTTATTATTAGTAAATAATATTTCCAAATTTCAGGAAATTTTCTCTGGCATAATCTTGAAATTAATTCCAGCAGTATGATGACATACCATCACGAAATTTAATGCACATATTTTTTCCTTATGTATGCTGCGAAATAAATATAAAATACCTCAATTTATTAAAATAGATTTCTTTCTTTCGTTTAGCTGCAGAATGTCTGCAAAAAAAGCCTTATTTTTTTTATTCCAGATTGGGAAGATTCTAATCTCAATCTTCAATGGAGAAAACAACAAACTATTATAATTATATTTGTGTTTTCAAGTGTTAAGGTGCTTTTTAAGAACATACCTCACACAAATTAAATTTACCTAAAATCTAACCTAACTATTTAGCATTGCGTTGTGATTTATAAGGACCGGACCGGATTAGCCTCGTGTTGAACTGGTGATGATCATGAGTAATAATTAAATAAAACATACATTTGTTATCCAATGTATATATCTTAAATTTTATTAAGTTTCTTAAGTGGAAAAGTAAACAAAATTATCAAACAAAGTATATACCAAGAATAATTAAGAATAAATGTCCTCTGGGATTTATTGAATAATTAAGTGAATTTGCTACACAATACAAGTAATACCATAATTAATTTACCTCTTAGCGTAGCCAACGTACATTACGCGGATAGACTGGAATTTTCTTGAAACACACCTGGAAAACCTGGAAAAGTCAGGGAATTTCATTCTCCTGTTTGAGTGGCAACCCTTATTAACCTTGTCTGTATTGTTTAGTTTAGCTAGCAAATGCTTCATCTCGGGGTTTGACTGTAACCCAAGTAAACCCTCATGTACATAAGATGACGTTGATAAAACCAGAAACTCGGAACTTGGTTGCATATTAGACAATCTCATATTGTTATAAAAGATGCTTAAAGCGAAGGAAATCAATGTAAACTAGCCAAAATGTCTGGGAAGGCTTCCAATTAAAATGACGGATTAATATTTTGTTGAGTATTATTATAAGTGTAAAATATTTAATGCTACTTGATAAATTGCATAAAGTTTATTTTATTCTCGAACTTATTAATGATTATTCTCATTGATTCATATTTAGTAATAATGCATACTACTTAGGGATCTATTTTATTTTTAGGATAGTATTACAAAAGTGAAATTCAGGCATAGATAATATTTTTAATTGAATTTATTCAGTTTCCATTTGTTCAACGGTCCTTAATTTTTTTCATTAATGGTCCTTAAAAGTACTTAATTTTCGTGTGCAGAAATGTGTACGAACCCTGATTAAGATGTTTCAACTAATCCCCCTTGTAAAATTATTCCAATCAATGGTAGTGTTATTAAATATTATTGATTCTCATACCAGTTCATTGATTTCATTTCTTCCAACTGATAGTAGGTAAAACTTAATGTGGTCCATAAAGAGAAATCATTTTAATCTATTAAACAAGTTTCTATCTCCAACATTCTTTCTTTTTAAGGCTGTTTTAGCAGATTCTCTTATTTTCTAACATATGCATCACCATGGAAGGTGATTATAAAATTTATTTTTATGCCTGTTCTATGAACAGAGTGACTTGTTTATTTTAACCAGGGCTGTGGAGTCGGAATTTGAGTTGGGCAGGTTTTGGAAGTAAAAGGGATCGGAGCTGGAGTCTCTAAAAATAGGCTGACTCCGACTCCAATTTTTGTTATACAATTTGGATTTGAAATGAAATTAAAATGAATTGAAAAAAATTAATGACAAGCTGAGTTATTATTTTTATTTATGAACTATATACATTAATAAATAGTTATTTTCTACTTTATTGATGTATTAATAAATAAATATAAGAGGATGGATGTGATATATGCCATTAGTGATTAAATTTATTCATTTAGTTACAAATCTCACTGGTAAGTTTAGGTAAGCAGCAAGAACTCCCAAAATTGATGTGATTCTTAGAAAGCGAGCAGGAAAAAAAGCTATTATTGATCAAGCAACACAATAAGGAAGTACATGTTTGATGATAAAGAGGTTGTTGGAATTAATAACTTTTTTAGAAGATGTAGATAACCTTAATGTTTCACTAACAGAAAGACTGTAGAATAATCTTGCAGAATTGGAAATTCTTTCTACACAGTATATTGACACAAAAAAACTGCAATTAAAGAATTGACAGGATGCTAGAATGAAAGAATGTGATGTTAGTTCTTTCTGAAATGGAGGGTTTATTGCCGAAGGAATCATTTCTATCTTTTTTTTTTTTTTTTTTTTTTTTTTTTGTTTCTATACCATCTATTACTTCTTTTATATTAAAAAAATGAGCTGTAACCCATGTGTATGTTTACACACAATATATATATGAGGTAGTCGGAGTCGGTCATTTTTCCTACTGACTCCGCAGCCCTGATTTTTAACTACTATGCTGCCTCCTTCAATCCATTCATTAGCAAGTTTGACCATATGTTTTCAACACACTCCTCATATATTTTTTCATTGTGACTGTAATTAGAAATATACGTTTCTTACATATAGTTCTAATTTTTACACCATTTTAAATATAACATAAAGTGCGCAGGAAGGGATGTAAGATTTCTGAAATCACTTTCTTTAATAGATGCTCTTGTATGATTCGTTTAATTGTAGGATGCAATGACAAGTTTGTTTCAATGTTTTATTTTGTATTTATTCTGATGCAGCTGCATGAGTAATCACTATATTGAGCATGAGAAGCTAAAGTATGATGGACAAGAGGTACATTTAAAGAAACCATGGAAAAAATGATGGTTTCCCTATTGGAGGCCATTAAAGTTATCATCATAAGATGTTTTGTCACAGATGTCCCAAATTTATTAATATAAAGTTAATAATATTGGAAAGGAGAGCGACGATAATAAATGTGCTGGATTACAGATTTCTTAATTAACTTTTGTAATATTTGTTTCTTGATGGCTGTTTTTTTCCCCCCTGAGATTTTGCATTCCTCGTTAATATTTCTAAAGTTATTATTTTCTAACACTTAGACAAAGCTCAAGAGGAAGAAGGTGACACAGATGAAGAAGAGGAGGAAGAATATGACCCAGGTATGAATTCAAACAGTAGAGTTTTATCAGAGGAAATCAAGAGACAAGTGTTTTTTTCTTTTAATTGTTATTTATAAAGAGGCAAAGGCATTCATGACCAATCGATTAAGCTTTCACCATTTAAGTTATATTTTTTCATTATTTTTAAGCAGAAGTATAAATAAGTAGAATGTTGATATTTGGTAACAAATAATGAAATTGCTAAATGGAAGTGCTTGTTTGAACAGCACATATTTTTTTGATAACCATGTTAAAGAAAAGTTTCAATGTTGTTGGGAACAGTACATTATTACAATTCAAACATAAGTAAAGATTCCACGTGTTTAGAAAGTATCTTTTTAATCAGAGTATATATTGTTGATCTTTGCAGGTTTGTTCAGTAACTATGCCAGTTAAGCAGAAAGAAAATGACAGTTTATTGCAGTGAAACAGTTCGCAGCAATGTAAATAGCTTAAAGGAGAGCACCAGAGGCAGGACAAATTTTGTATATCAAATTTTCGATCATTGGAGATTATCAATATTACTCACAGAGTAAACTATTATAACAGTAATCATTCAGCAAGAATGCACTATAATCAGTTACACAATTCTGAACTAATTCACTTAGCTGATTCTCTGTATTGAACTCCAAGGCTTAATGCAGCTGTTTATAAAGTTTGTTTGATTTTCTTGAAAGTATCTGGAAAAAATTTTAGGGCTTCAAAAATAAAAATTTCCCATAAAGTAGCGAAGTTTCGACAACATGGCAGTTTAGAATTCACAAAATCTGCATTATATGAAAAATAAATGCCTATAATACATGTACAAATAGGATAGATTTGGATACAAAAGTCAGCCTCAAATTAGATCAAACAAAAATAAATTCTGAAATTATCACATAAAATGCAATAAGTAATATAAAAATATTCAAAAACCAAAATATGATCAAATACATAATTATTTGCAAAAATGAACATGAATTAATGCATGCTTTTGTATAAAAATATTAAAATATACATTTCTTAATTGCCAAAAATATTTGCCATGATTATTTGGGGGCTGTTATATCCTAGTTGTCTCCATTCTAATTAGACATGATTTTGAAAAAAATCTGTTATTAAAATTTTCATATTTGGAAAGTTGTTTTTACTTCTGAATAGTCTCAAAAGCTTTTTTGTGAATGATTTAATTGTTGACTTTACTTAATTATCCAATTGTCCTTTTCCCAGATATTTTAGGGAGTGATGATGATGATGTAAATGATGAAGGTGAATATCTTGAAAAAATTTCTGCCAACATAAAGAAAAAGTCTCCATTTGCAGTTACATCTGCGACAATAACTGATGATGATGAGGCTACAGATGACGAAGATGAAGAGGATGATGGTGCAGAAGAGACAGCTTTAGAAGGTTATACTACTCCCTTAGATGATGAAGATACATCTGTTGATGAATATGTTGTCTTTAAAGAAGTTATGAATAGTAAGTTTTTTTTAAAATTTAATTTGATTAAGTCTAGATCTGCTGTTATCTAGGTGTTGCAGCTGTAGATAATTGTGTTCTAAAAATCTGTTAAACTCAAAACTTTGAAATGAAAGTCCATTTCTATACAGTGTATTATGCCATGTTCAGCACAAGGAGTATTTCCTATTATTATTTTGGAACATTTTCTTCTTTGAATAAAGAATGTAAAATGAAGCAGCATATTACAATAATTGCTTAGTAGACTGCAAAGACATTTTTGCAACAGGTAACCTGTTGCTAATGGATCGTGATCAGAACCAAGGAAGCTGGAAAAATAACCATGCTAAACTACACAAAAGTAGCGGTACATAAATTATAAGGTATTTCTCCTGCCTTCGTGATGTAGTGGTGTGCATGCACAGTGTGTAATTGAGAGGTTCGCAGTTCGATTCCCAGTGAAGGCGTTGCATATTTTTCATCTTGCCTGCTTCCAAAAAATACTTAATATCTCTACAAAATTAATAAATACAAAGAACTTATACCTACCTACTTTTATTTCATTACCAGATTTATTATACAGCATTACCAGAAAAAAGTATTGATATGGTCTTGAAAAGGATGTATTCTATCCCTTAATGACCATCATCGTACTTTAAAAACATTAAGAAAGCAGCATCTGTCATATTTGTTACAACATCATTTCAGTACTATAATCAAACATAAAATAATAGTTATAGCTATCTCAGTTTTGATTCATTCAAACAACCTGATGTCTCTCAACATGGTCAGAAATTTGTTGAAGGATTGCCATCTCAGTTGTTATTTTTCTCATATATGATTATTCGTTTAAGATGATTCCATAGACATTATATCATCTGAATGTTGGCAGCTTAACAGGAAGAGCAAAATTTAATATTTCCGGTGGGTGTATCACGAATCATATTCATAAACAAGGCCGGTTTTTCATCATTTGACGATTTTTGGATTTTTTTTGCATTGGGTATTTTTCTCTTTTAAAGCATTTTTTTGAGCTTTTTAGGCATTTCAGAGTATTTTGATGAATATTCTGGTAAAGAAACTGAATAAAGTTATCTTTGAAATAATGCCCTTTCAACTTCTGTAAACCTATTTTTATTAGCTAGGTATATCCTATCCACAGTAAACTGATTATGTAATCTGTTAGTCGTATGTATCACATCTGATTTTCCCCACAAGTTACGAGGTCACTTCCAAAAAGTTTCCATACTGTCATTTCTTAGCTCTTGTGTTGTTTGTGTAGTTTTATAGGATTACTTGCAGAGATACAATTCAAGTGTGACTCTAATGAAGATACCGAATTTAATACTATTAATATAAGAAAATGTGTAGCAGGTAGACCATTATGTCTGAAAAATGTAGACCAGCCTCTGTGACAAGAGAAAAGAAAAAGGATATGATGGACTTGTTGAAATTCATTCTTCATATTAAACATGACTATTATAAAACTTTAAGGACAAATTGATACATAACGGGAGCTCAAATACAGCTAATGAAGAAGACATCATTTATATGAATCAATTTAAACAAAGTAATAATACTCGCAATATTATGTAAAAGTATAGTTATTATTCATTTTTGCTAAAATCTTTAATAAAACTTAAGAGTACAGTAAGACCCCGCTTAATGCTGTTTCGGTTTAGCGCTCTTTTATTTCAACCCGGGGATTCTCCGAAATTGTGCGCAGCGCTAGGTTTCCAAATATTATATCCGAAACAGTGTAGTTGTGTTTCTTGCTTTGGGGACGCATTTTTATCATTTGAAACATTTGTTGACATTATTGTAAGTTTAAATTTGTATAATACTATAACGATTAATACAGTGACAAATATTATGATCTTTAGTTTTTATCATGGGTGATGATAATAAAAAACAAGAAAAGAAGAAAGCAACCAGAAAAAAGCATTTCACTGGAAACTCTAATGCAAGTGATTAGGAGATTAGATTCTGGTGAACGTCAATCTCAAATTAGTGCTGCATTGAATTTGGCAACTTCAACAATAAGGACAATTCTTAAAGCTTTTAAAGATTTATTCTTAAAGAATAAAGAAAAAAATACTGTCATCGGCAACTGCAACTACGTCAAGCTCTGCAACTAGAATTACCCGTTCTAGAAATAACATTATAGAGGAAATGGAAAAACGACTGTCTATATGGATTGACGACGAAATTGAACACAATATGCCATTAAGCCAATCTATCATAATGCCTTCTTGACAAAAAGGCAGAAAATTGGAAACCCAGAATAGACTGAATGATCTGACTGAGAATTTTATTTGTTTTTAAAAGTATATGCGTTTATATTGTTTTTATTTTTGTAAGAAATAAATGTTTGATTTTATTTTTATTAAAAAAACATTATTAAATTTAATGCCTAACCATTTTTTATCCGTCTTCCCCTAACCCCATTATTTACATGTTAAGATAGCCTCGCTTAGCGCTGTTTCGCATTACGCTCTACTTCGACGCGGGGGCTTACTGTATTTAATTTCCACATGACTTGTATGAAGTGCATAATACAGCAAGTCTCTAGTATTGTTCACAGCATGATGTGGGTGAGAGCAGCTGGTGTCTGCAAGCGAGACCTTCGGAAAAAAAGAACTTTTTGCCTTAGTGTATCTGCAAGAATGATGTGGTTCTGTCTGAGACATAGTAATATTCTGTGAATTTGTGAAGGAATGGGTGTTCATCTGCTGTTACAACAAAGAAATTTTCTTTCTTTTCAAACAATGGCTGATATGTATTAAGGTGCCAGTACATTTATGAAAGTATCATGGTCTTGCACTTTTGACCAGGCAATTTTTCATCTCTTCTAAACATAGTTTACTCACTTCCATGCTTTTGATTGTTGTAGCCAGCCAGAATTATGAATTCAGTTTGGATAAATTATTATTATTACTGAAGTGTGTAAAGAAATTTAAATGCTGAGAGTTTCATTTTTTAAGCCTGTGGCTTCTTAATGTGTACAGATACATGAGGCAAAATGTTTTTAATAATGTAAATTGCCATTATCAATACACAACTATTTTGTTTTTTCTTTTTGCCTTTGCTTTTTGATTTATAGATTTCATTTATATTTTCTCTTTGTTTTAGATCTTAAAGCAAGTGATCCTAACTGGTATAATATTTTAACATCACATCTCACAACAGAACAGCAGAGGTCTTTTGAGGAAGTTTGTATATTGGCAGATCAAAGAAAAGCTGCTGCAGGTATTATTATATCTATTTTCTTAAAATTGTGATCTTATTTAATTTTCATATACGAATGAAACATGAAGTTTCTGCAAAAATTTATCAAACTGAGTGATATATTTAAGCACGTGGTGGGGATGTGCAAAAAACTACTACTGGAATGAGAGAACTGCGCATCTTTTTGTTATTGTTATTTACAGAAGCTTTGGAAAGCTTTTGTAAATAACAATAACAAAAAGATTTGGCTTATTTAATATAAGCGAATATATAATGTCTTATTTATATAAGCAAATTTAAGTGTAGTATTTTTCAAATTCAAATAATTGGAATAAGATATATGTTTTCGGTTCTATTATTGAATTTTTTTTTCTATTTGTATATTATTCTGAATTTGTATAATAGACTTTTAAATTTAAGTAATAATAGAAATAAACAAAAGTTATCTATTTTTAGAAAAATATTTTAGTACAACTATGTGAAAGAAAGATAATGTTCAGCATTTAGAAATTGCCCAAATGAATTTTTTCCCCTACTATTTATTTATATAATAGAATTTTAAATTTAAGTAATAATAAAAATAAACAAAAAATCGGTAGTTTTAGAAAAATATTTTAACAAATCTATGTGAAAGGTAATGTGCAGCATTTAGAAATAACCCAAAACTTGTTTTGCAATCCATTACTTACCGAATTCCTAGGGCAGTCACTGCAAATTAAGAAAATGTGAGGTTATGTAAATAGAAGCAAGAAAAAGGGAGGGATGGTTAGAACTACGTACTGTCAAAACAGGAAAATTTCCTGAAACTAGTTGTCATGTGTGTGTTGTATTTGAGTTTTTGAATGTCAGTAGATCTAATAAGAAAGGTGTGAGGTTCGCAAAAATTATGATTGATTAATATCTAACTAATAGAGCATGTGTCATTCTATGTCTGTGCAGGCTTGTCTTTCTTGTTTCTTACGGAAGACTACCTGATTAAATGAATAGTTTTTAATATTTGTTAAAATATTTATCACTATTTATTTAAGTTTGTAATTTATGATTATGATATTAAATGAGTGCGTTTATTCCCGTTGTTATTACTGTAACTTAACTATAAGGATTGTACTGTATAACTTTTCTGTGTTACTGTAACTTTACCATTACACTGGGGAGGGGGAGAATTCTGTTGCTCCCGTTCTACTGGGCTGATTGACGAAATTCAAAATTTAATTTTTCATGTTTCGAAGAAATCACATTAAATATATGTATAGTCAAAAGTCTTTAATCCAGACTCGTCGGGACTTCGGCGATTCTGGATTATAGATCATCAGTTTAAATCTGGAAACATTGCATGCAGAAATTATAAAATTAAAAATATGAAACCATAATTTATGAAATGAAGAGCAATTATGATCTAAAGAGTATCGAAATTTACAAAAAAAAGCTTAATTTTTATTTGTTTATTTTATTAAACATTTCTTTCAACGCGCGCATGCGTAAAGGATACATTACGCATAGTCGAAATTAGAAAATTGCAACCAGAAAACTATTTGATGTGTATTCGTGATATTTATATTGACGAGGAATTTGATTTAAATCAAATCATATCAAAGACGGAATGCATCGAGATGAAATACTACATTTAGTAAGGAATTATAAGCCGAATAAAATAAAAACATCTGCCCTGAAGATAAGGATAGTGCTGACAGATCAACTTCCAGTTCATTGCCACGACCAGCGTGAAATTGATAAACAGATTTCGGAATGGTTAGAGAAACAAAGGATATGCCTTTATCCATTTTTTTTACAGCAATTCCACTTTTTGTTTGATAGACATCAAAACCTTCTTTCGCTTTGTAGATCCTTTGGCAGCTCCAAAATCGGAAATTTTTTTTGACGTAGTCGAAAGTTCAAGCTTACTTTTATAAAATTGGTCTAACAGTCTGCAAAAACTAATAAGCCAGATCCAATTAGAAGATTAAGGAACAATGCAATCTGGAACATTAACCGAAATAGATAATTGGATAATTTTAGCTTAGTTTATACCATCCATTACACATTAAACGCGCATGCGGTAAGGTATTATGCACATGCGTCAACGCGCGTTGACGCATGCACAGAAAGTTTATAGCTTTAAGGCCCGGATTATAGATCGTTCCGAATTAAAGACTTTTGAATGTATAGCATTATTCTTAGGTATTTTGATACGAAATCAGACAGAATAAATTCTGAAATGGCTTACCATTTTATTTCCATATTTTGATTCTACGATTCAAATTATTCCTAGATATTTAATTTTGTAATGTTTGGTGAGAAATTTTTTAACTTATATAAAATATTCACGTGGTGGAATTCTTAATTTATAGTAACCTTCTTCCTTTCCTTTTTTTTCATTGATGCACGAGAGGAAAAAAGGTCCATGGTTCATTCTTTCAAATAATTTTAACAAAGTGCGTAAATCCAATTTTCGTTATTATCGCTTATATTAAATAAGCCATATTTCAAAACGTGCCAAAATGTAAATTCCATCTATATCCTAGGAAATTTTCAATAAAAAAAACTCTCATTCTTTGCAGATATGCTTAGAAATACATCTACTTTAAGATGCTGTCAAAAATTTTATAGGTTATAATACAGAATTTTTAAAAATACAAATTTTTAAAATAATGAAAAATGTGCAAATTATAATTGCATTAAGCCTAATTTTCAAATTCTGGAAGAAAGAATCTAATAAGTTTATTTTAAAAAGAGATATAAATTTATATCAAATTCAACTAACACTGAGGAGCAAAACATTTTTCAGAGCTAATTTTTAAAAATGTATTTATGCGATTTAAAAAAAAAACTTGACAGTTTTTTCATAATTTGAGTCGTAGAATCGAAATATGGAAAAAAATTGCCACGTAATTTCAGAGAAGGTCTGATTTTGTGTCAAAGTACCTATATTAAAACAATGCTATATATAAATCTAATACATATCCTAAGTCGTGCTTTCGAGACATAAAAAACACAGGTTTAATTCCATCAATCAGCCCAGTAGTATGGGAGATTTAGTATCTCCCTCCCCCATGCGGTGTTCCCCCCACGTATAATTATGTACCATATTTCAACATTTTTACCTATATTTTTGCAGTTTACATAAACCATAAATGGTTTGAGAGCCACTGCCAAGCAAAATTAATAGCTTGCTATATTTATAGTTTAAATAGCTTATAAAGTGACAAACCATTGAGTATTTACTTGTAAATTTATATTGTTATTTATATTAACACTTTTATATGAGCATGAACAATAAACATTTTCTTATCACCCTCTTCTCATATTGGTATAAAATAATCCTTAAAGAAGCATTATCATCTTATTCTGCTTCACTTGGCAAAGTTTATAATTGGGGGGGATTTGAAAGTTCTACAACAATATTTTCATCTAAACATGCCAAATATTCATCGTTTTCTTCAGAATTCTCAGTTTCATTTGGAGGTTTGAATAAATCTTTAACGTATTCATCTCATAAAAATGCATTTGTTTCTTGCTTTGCCATTATCACAAGGTTTAAATTTTAAATTATTTATTAAAAATAGAAAGTGGAGAGTAGGAAGGACAAATGACCTGGCAACAACTTTGTGCATCACACCAGTTTGGTAACACCAGCTTTTATCTCCCATTTTGAGATGTTGGTAAATGGGCATTTGTTTGCCAGCTTCGCACAAAACTAGTGTAGTGTCACTTGACTGCAAAGTGTTATTACCAGTTGGCAGCATAGGCTTATTGATTTTCTATAAATTTATTTAAATATGTAGTTGTATTTCTTGATGTTTGTTACTTGTATAAATACATCACTCTTTAAAATTCCAAAATGTATTCACTTTTACTTATTTTATTTTCCCTGTTGCTACTAAAGAGGAATTCTAGATTGCTTTAATTTAGCAATATAAATATGAAAAATTTAGAAAGAAACTGGGTGTTATTTTTTGGAGGAGGGTGAGGGCTCTTTGTTCAGACCATGACACTGGTAAAAGAAAAAAATTTTTTATTCCCCTCCAATGCATAAAATATTTAAATCTATAATGTGTAAAAAATAAGATAACAACCTGGAGGAAAGACCATTAATGCTTTTGAAATGCTATCGAGAGGCTGCTTTTGTTATTGCATATTGCCTATGCAAGACTCTTTAAAATCTCTTGATCTAAAGCTGCATTTTAAAAATTAAGTGAAATATTAAAAGAAAGTTGGTGCATTAAATTTTTGAAAGAATTTCTAATTTTTTAGTTGTTCTTCCAAAAAAAAAAATCTTCTCCTCCAAAAAATGTGTGCAGTATTCCAATTTTTGGAAACCTGTAAAATGTAATTCACATAACCAAAATTTAATTAGCAGCTATTGTAAAGCAAAGTAGAAATTGGATATAAACAAAAGAAATATTTCTCTACTTTAAATTTTAGATCAGTTGAAATCAATGATCAGTAAAAGATCAGTAATCACTCCTCTTAATACATCATACTTTAATCTATTGTAAGAGTGCGACACTTTAGATTTGATTGCACTTTTCCCAAAGGTATGTTCAAGAATAATACTCATAGTTTATAAATAACATTTTCAAGTAAAATGCTCTTTGAACTTTCTAATATTTTATCAAAAGTTCTGATCAGCTATATTTCTTATGCAGTCTTTATTTTCACAGTCATTGATCATAGACATATGTTTCTAGTTGTAAAAATGTTTTAAATTGTCATGTTTTGTCATTTTTCAGTTTAAAAATTTGATTTTGTAAAATTTATGAAATCTAAATTTTTGCACTTCCTCCTGTTCTTGTAGTTTGTCCATAAAAAATTTATATGTGTTCTAAGAAACAAAACATAGAAAGTTTGACTCTCATGCAACAAAAATTGACAGTTATTTAATTTTAAAATTTGGTATTTTTAACCTCATGTTCATTCTCTCTTAAGGGGGTTGTGATTAAAAAAATAACTAAGAATAATTTGAGATTGATTTTTTTTAACCATTTAATATCATTTAGTTAAATCTTTTGCGATTGATTTTTTTAACCCTTTAATGTTATGTAGTAATAATCTTCTGTGATTTACTAATTTGTAACATTCTGAAGGGCTTGCTTTTAAGTTTTAAGTGAAACTTCATGATGTCATTTTCAGCTCAGCGATAACGCAGCATTTTAATACTGTGAGTAACATTTTGAAAACTGAAATTATTAGTTTCATTAATAGCTGTGTAATAAGATGAATCTATGTCTTATTGCTTCTTGCAGTTTAGTGGTTAGTGAAGCTAACTGTGATACCTATTGGCTTGGGTTCAAATCCGAAAGAAGCCGTGTGTGTTTGTAAGTGTATAGTGTCTGCGACAAGGGGAGCCGAAAGTCCTCTCAAGCGATTGACTGGTGGTAGGGTAGTGCAATGGGAGACTCTGGGACAGCCCTATTGGGTGCTTTCCTCAAAATTAGCGGTAGACTGCACAGTTATTAGCGTAGCAGGACTATACCTGTGCGACCAATGGAAAATTTTTTATGTTCCATCCACTCCCATGCCTGCCCTTGAAATTGATAGTTTATTCAAAATCTGTGCTATACAATGATTTTTTTAAGCTTAATTTTAAAGCTGTGTAATATTTTTATGTAATTTAGATGCAAAAAAAAAATTTTTTTTAATTTATTATTTTGTCTCTTTCAGAATCTAGAAGAATAGAAAAAAGTGGTGGTTATGTTTTTCAAAACCAGACTGTTCCAACATCTTTTAATTTTGGTGGTACGCCTCTTTCTTAAGCCAAATAGTTTTATCAGCTGATCTGTGAAGACAATTGGAAGGGGGAAATTTTTTTTTTCCTCACCCGCACTTCCAAGAAAAATTATATACAGTCCTATCTTTTTTCCCCTTTGCCAGCACTCCACCTGTGGCTTATTGTATAAAAATATGTAACGAGTAAAATATTGCTCTCTTGAAGTGATCATGAGCTAAAGACGATCAGTATTTCACACCAAAGACAGGGTGGGGTGCAGTGATAAACACTTTTCATCTACCTTGTGTGCCATGTGGGGAATAAATGCACTATGAAATCTATTGCTATCTTATGTCTTCATCAGCTGAGTGACTGTATTTCTCGATAGCGAATTGAAAAAGACAGATTTCAGAGAAATAAAATTTGCTGTTTTATAAAAGACTTCAGTTGCGCTTAAGCATGCAAATAATGTAGTGTTGTAATTTAGTATTTTTAATACTGTTTCCTTTACATTGAATTAAGAAAGCTGAAGTAACCTTGTGTCATAGATTTGAATTACAGTGCATTATTGCCTTTGGTCTTTTATTGTGAAAATAATTAAAACACATGTATATTTGGGTTAATATTTGCTTTTTCTCCCCTTCTAAATTAAATTATTGTTTTTCATAAGCAGTTATAGATATTGTGATGAATTTTGGATTACTTTTTATATTTAAAGTATTCTTTCATAGGATCCTTCTTTAAAATAAAAATTTAGAGAAAAGAGATTTTTAGTCTAAATATGTATATTTTTCAAGTATGCAGTATAATATGCAAGTTATATTTTGCAGCTAAACTTGTATTTATTTGTTATACAAATAATATAAGATTGAGGTATTTAAAATTTAGGGGGGGGGAACGAGATTCCGAAGTCTTCCTTTCTTCATTTTGTTCCTTTTATTGTTCTATCATGCCTATGTTGACTGTGTATTATATTTTTTAAAAAATTCTTTACCAGTTTGGTGATTGAAATGTAATTTTTGCTTCTGAAATATATTTTGTTTTGTTATCTTATCAGAGTGGACTGAAGTAAATTTCTAAATATTATCGTTAATATGCTAAGCAAAGAATCCGCCAGTTTACAAGTCAGACCTAAAGTGTATTTGAGCTTGAAATTTTAATTTGTTCCCCTTTCAGTATTCAATTAGTGAGTTTTTTGACATGATTTTTATCAAAATAATTTTGAAAAAGAGAGAGAATGGTGAAGAGAAAAATTTCCCTCTGACAGTTTGATTATATTCATTATTTTTTATTATATGGCATAAGCATGAAATAACATCATGATATAAAATATTTTGCATTCAGATGCATTTCTTTTCTTTCAAATAATCTGATTTTTTTTAATCATAAGTATTTTTTAATTCCATGCATTTTTAAAAAACTTTCTACTGTGTAGATTTTTGAAAAATTTTACAAGATTTTCAAAAGTCAGTGTGATCAAGAATTAAAGAACTTTGCTATATTTCTTTTGGAGGGGGTTAAAAATACAAATTCATTTCTTTTATTGTCATATCTGCATTTTTATCAGAAATTTTTAATGCTTCTTTTTGTTGGCATTCATATTTTGGTAACATTTTCAAGTTGAAGGCCATATTCTGTACTTTTTAGGTGTAAGTATACAATAACATAAAATTCTTTCATATTTTCTTTTCTTCTGTACCATTTTGATATTAAGCTTAAAAAGACAAAAACAGGTTTGAGGTTAAATTTGAAAGTTAAGAAAGAATATTCTTAAAGATACAAATAAATTTTTGAAAGTTTTATTTTTATAATTAATATAGGAAAACCTATTTTATACTTTCCAGTAGTATGCTGAATAGCTGTTGTTGGTTTTATTAACCCTGGAGTAGTTGTCTCAAAACACTTGCTAGTTTAAGTTAGGTTCTTTGAATATGACAAAGCATGCGTGGGCTCTCTGCCTAAGGAGATGGAGTTCTTTCCGAGGGAAATGGAAACATGGAAAGTCATTGAAGTTTTAAAAAAAAAAGTTTTCTTAAAATAATAAAAGCTCATGTTTTAAATAGTGTATGATACATAAAAATTGTTCCTGCTAAGATGTAAGGAAATAAAAGTTACTGCAAAATTTACTTTTAGAAAATATTTTGCCTCTCTTGTATCAAGATGCAATTTTGTTAAATGTACTTGCCTTTCAAAAATAAATAATGGAATTAGGAAGACATTATGCTGTGTGGGTGTATGTTGCAATAAATTTCCATAATTATGCAACACCATTTTCAGTCTTGTGTAAATGTTGCGTTTTGTTTTATTTTTGAAACATCATAAGAAGCAATATATTCATTATGAATAATATTCTATTATAAATTACTTTTGTGTTCTGAACTGTTTTCCAGAATTTGTTTTCTTTTTCTTTTAAGCCTTTTTTGAATAAATTAAATGCATGTTTTGTACATATATTTCATTTCCATCACAGTATTGAATAACATAAATTTTTATGACATTAGTTATTGCATTTTATTTTGTAGTAAGTGCCTTAAAAAGTGCTCAGGTACTGGCATAGAATTTGAGGACCAGTTTGTCATGTTTGGTTAGAAAATTTGTTCTGTTTTATCATAGAAAGTTAGAGAAATTGAAAGCTGAACTTCAATAAGACTGATAAAATAACTTTATATGCTTTTGTTTTCCGTTAAGATGTTTTATATTAAAGAAAAAGTATAATTGATGTGGTCATTGAATGTAGACACTGAGATCAGTAGTTATTTCCATTTTCATAACTTTAGTTAGGTGAAAAAGATATTTTTGTCCACATCAGCTTCCTATAACCTCTTCAGCAGCATATTAGAGTTCATTCTGTTTGTCTCTTTCCTCACTACTTGCCATAAATTATTAGTTTGATCCACTGAAATAAACGTAATTTCAAGCTTCTGTATAGTAATTAATAACTTTGATGTCTGTGTGTTCAAATATCAGATAAGGCATTTGGTTTATTTCTAAAAAATTAGTATCAGTAGATTTTCAAAATATTGACTGTTTTCACATAATATAAAATTTAAAAAATCAAAATAAGATTAATGAAAGTAATTTGAAAAGACAAAGCTAACAAATATGTAGAGCACATATAAATGTATTTATCAGTTCTTCCAAACATCTTGGTAAAATCGAAAGACTTCCGATATTTTATCGCATCTCTCAGAGCTTCGATTATCAATTTGTCTGAGTGTAGATTCTTTTCTTTTAAATGTAGCACTAGTAGAAATGTTGATCACTTAGTTTAAAAAAATTCTTTAAAAAGTTAAGGGTTATAATGTCATCTCTAAATGAAATTAACACTGTGCAAATTTTTTTTCATTGGTTTTCATGGTTATAGAAATATGTTGAGCATTTTAAGAAGATTTACTTAATCTTTAATAGATAAATATTTATATTTATCTAATAACATTAGTAAGTTTATTTATGCAGTTACATGCATATTAATTTTGATTTTATTTTTATCATGCTTAAAAGCATTTTAGAAAACACAAAAGCTTTTTTTCCTATTTGGGTTTTCATCAATATAAAATTTTAAGAAATTTACAAATGTTGATTGTAATTAGCCATAAATCATAATTTAGAGTAATGAATAAGTAATTAAGTGAATATATATTGCATAAAAATCATCATATAATTGGTTTAATAACTCTTAATATTGCATTGCATGTGACTTGAAGGAAGATTTGTCAGTGGAGTGAAGTCACATCACAGTGCTACATGAAAACGTTTTACTTTTTTTTAACTTAAAAATTATCGGCTATGATTTACTAAACAAAAATTTCTTTAAATTAGGAAAGAGATACAAATACTACTATCCACTTATTAATACTTAGTTGATAATGTTAATGATACCTGTTATCCATCTGTAACTGTGATGAAGTTTTTGAACCCTAGACAGTTTTTGGTAGGAATCTCCTGTATGTGATTGCAGGGCATTGCAAAAAAATTGAAAATAATGAAATCGGATATGTAAATATAGACAATATGAATCGGGTTATATATTACTATAGTATTAATTAGATATTCCACCACACAGTTAGTGTAAAATTATAAATTATTTCTAAACTACTGCAGGGTTAATTAGGAATTGCAAAATTTGGCAGTAATAGCTATTGTTGTGTATGTAATATTAAATTTAAAAAAATCAGTAAAATTAATAAACTTAATGAAAATCATTAAAATTTTCTTTGATGCTAATTTTGTCTTTGATTCATGCAGTATGTGAAAAGAGAAGAAAGAAATTTGTGGTGTATTCCTAGGGTTTTAACTAAATTGAATTTTTTTTGCAAACTTTAATTTCAAAAAGTCTGAATTATTTCTAATTTACATATCCCCTTGATTCTGAATTGTAGTTTTATTAATTATTATTTTTCCCAAAATAAGTTTTTCCCTGTAAAATTTGTTCGAAGTTAATTTGGAATTCGAATTAAGCATGCTGCTAGGAAAGTGCCCATTATTCTAAGGAAATTAGCTTGTCAACTGTCTTATATTTGTTAGTTTTTTTATGTTGTGTCTTGAATGTTATTTTATTATTATTCATTGAAATTCATTAAATGCTTGTGCAGATTTTTAATTGCAGAATGTGAAAGAAATGCTATGTAAGAATGTTTAGAGATATTTATATTTGTCAAAGAAATAACTTTTGTAGTGAAACTAATTATTCTTAATTTGATTACATTATTGTATAAATAATTTCTTGCTTTGGTTTGCAGTTTATCGTAAGATCATTCATTGCATATAATATTAATTCTCATTGATTCAAAATGTCTTATTATTATACTGTGTGGTGTAATTTATATCTATAGCAGAGTAATCTAAATATTGCTTTTCTGTTAAAAGTCAGTGTTTTAATGTTCCTTATTTATCAAAAGTGTTCTGTTTCTAAACCATCTTCATAACTTTTATAGTTTCATGTATATTAATTAACTTATTGTTTTTTTTTTTTTTTTTTTTTTTTTTTTTTTTTTTTTTAAAGATTTCTATAGTAGTATTTTGAAATTTTCAGGTTAGATGTTTATTTCTGTGTGAGAGCTGTGCAAATATGCAAGGCCATGGTTTGTGATAAAGGTGCTGTACAGAATAAAATGATTGCTGGCATTAAATATTTTTGTATGACCATCAGCTTCCTTACATTTTCATTTATCATGTCTCTATTTGGGGGTGGGAAACCTGCATTTTCACAATTAAAAGTCAGTTTATACAGAATATTTCATTAAGTCCAAACATATCTATGTAGAAAATATGATGTATGATACAAATTCATTTAATAACTATAGGAAGAAATTGATTTTTTATTGGAACAAATAATAGATGAGATTAACTAATTATAAATAGCCCAAAGAGAAAAACAGAAATAAGGTAAATTCTCTTTAATGTGCAAGAAATATTTCAGATTAAATTTCTGAGACAAGTTTTCAACCAGCTAAGTTACCAAGCAAGAGCTCAGGATGGTTGCATAATCCTGAAATAAATTGCTGAACTGGCTGGCTGACAGCTCTGACTCAAAATAACAAATGATGAATAACAATAAAAGTGTATATAATCTAAATTACAAACAAACTTAGATGTTTAAAAGGGTAAATTATGCTGCAAAAGGTAATTTAGTTACCTTTAGCTGTTTGGGAAAGGGTCAAAAGAATTCTTTGAAGTGATACTTCTATTTGTAATGCTGTTATTGCCTTTATTGTTTTAAACATTTTCATTCTGCGTGTGTGTCTTGAATGAATGAATTTGTGTTGTTGCAAAGTTTTGCAACATCACTAGGGACAAAATCTTAGTAAGATTGATTTCTTATATGAAATGCTTTATATATATATGCCATATTTTCTAAGCACCGTTGCAATGGCTGGAACTCTCCAACAGCTTTCGATGCCCATCATGGCTGTGGTTAAGGCATACAGATGAAGATAATAAAACATGAACTTGAAGAATTTCCAGTCTTTATTTTCACACATATCCAATTAATTAGGCAGACACTTTATTCATTCATATTTAAATATGGTAAATTTCTACGTACATTGATTCTAAAAAAATTAGCAGGCAGTTTAGATGGGGAAGCAAAGCGAGGTATTAACAAGGTGGAAGCTAAGAAAAAAGGTGATGTAATTAACTGCCAGGGGTTTTTATACCAGAGTAGGTGCGATTCTAGAGATAAGCTATCATTAGTTAGTTATCAGTTTTGGTTACCCTTTTCAAGCAGCATTACATAACGTCAAAAAATCTCGAATTTGGGACAACAGATGAATTTAAGGGGAGATCACCAAATCTAGAATGTTAAATTTTGAGGTCACCAATTATTTTTAAAAGCAGCTATTGTATTTTGTTCTATCGTACACACATATACAATTATCCCTTTGAGACTTGTAAAAATTTATAATCTTCCAGAAACCAGTATCTTTTTATAGTCTGAACAAGTGCTGTTATTTCTCACCAGCTGGTTTTCTGCTGGCTACTTTTATTAATTTCACTAATGAAATTTCCAAATTTTCAGGTAGAACCTTTTTTAATTCGTACTACTCTGGAAAGCTTAAATAAAATTAACTATCCTTGTTAACTTTGCTGAATATTACTTTGTTGCAAGTAAATGTTCATTCAAATATGATATGTTTTAATCGTTGAGTACTTGCTACTGTGACATTTGAATGTAGAGGTGTTGGAAAATTAACCCTGTGACTGCTCAATTTGTAAACCAAAATCGCTTCCAAAAAAAATTTTTTTTTGGGGGGGGTGTTGTTTATTTGTTTCCCATATTTTAAATCTATGTATATTGGAGAGTTGAAAAATGCACTTTTTCTTTTTAGAAAATTTTTTATATAGATTTTTATCATGAGAAACTAAGTTGCCAGAAAAACCAATTTCAGATGTTATCACAAAAGAAATCTTTTTAAAAATAAATTTCACTCGAATTACAGTTAATTTCTATTTATTCCATAATATAAAAAAGTAAAATGTATAAAATTTAAGAAAATATTAAAGCGCTGAGGGAAAAATACCTTAGAAATGCAGTTTAGTATGGTAGAGTTCTAAACAGGGTTCAAGGCAAAGTCCAACTTCACAGTTTTTGCAGCAAATTCAATAAATCTAATTAAATTTATTAATTTAATTAAATAATCAAGACAATTGTTGAACGTTTTCAAGCAGCCATTTCTGTAAGAAAAAAGCTTCAAAAAGTGAAGTTTGAGTGCTAATACCACGTGCCTTGAAATGCCGCAATTAACGATATCTAGTGGCCAAAACGTAAATTGAACGCCTAATACTGTATATAATTTATTTCAATGGTTAAATGAGGAAAAAACGGGATGCGCTCCTCAATAAAGGAAGAAAAACATATGCCCGCGTAAATCGCGGGATGATCAGCCAGAGGGCTAAAGGATGAATGTCATTGTATGAAGTTATTGTTGCAGAATTTAATGAAAGAATTTGTTGACGCGGGATGATCAGCCAGAGGGCTAAAGGATGAATGTCATTGTATGAAGTTATTGTTGCAGAATTTAATGAAAGAATTTGTTGCACTTTGCACAATTAACTCTCTCGGCGGCCAGGGTTTTCACTAAGAAAGCACAAATTTCCCAAAAACTACTATGAGAAGAAATTATTTTTTTTATTTTAATGTAAAAACTCTCCTGGTATTTCATACCTGGGTTTGTTTTCTTTTGATATATTGCCTTAATTTCGTTGACATATTTAATATGCACATATATATACGTTCTTACAGATATCACAATAAATATTCTAAGCTATATAAATACGGCCTTGCCACTTAGAGGGTTAAAATGCATGCAACCTAATTTCTGTGGCGGAATTAAATGATAATACACTAAATTCTGTTTGCTTCTAGAAAGATATGAAAGCATAGAAGAATCATTAAATTGCTTACCCAGCAAAGGCTAAATTCACTGAATAATAAACTCGGTGGCACTTATAGCAATAAACAAGCTAGACTTCTCTGTCAGTTGACTCATTTAGACCTTAATACTAAAAGACAATAATTAGCAGCAAAGCAGAATAGTCTCATAGATAAAGCCAAAGTGGGGAAACCTCATAGGAGTATGGAAGTAGAAGAGTTATTGTGGAGAATAGGAAAAGAGGCTTTCATCCTTTGGAAATCAGCTACAGTACTTAACACTTCGTTGGGCGCGTATGATCTGTCAGATGTAAGTTTTAAATAGATTTGGTTTTCTCTAGAAAAGGCAATTATCATCACCTTCACTGTCATAGTATCTGTCCTGCTGGCTACCTTCCAGGCAGGAATGTAGTTTTCCTTGTTTTGTTATAGAAACTGTGATCTTTCAATAAATATAAGGAAATAAATGAAAAATGTACCTGAATTTTTTCAAATAATGAAAATGTGATTCAGAAACTTTGAATCTTGATATTATTAAGTTGGGCAAAACCAGTGCGATGTACGAATGTAAAAAAAGGGTACAAAATATTATAACGAAATTCATTGTAATTTTGTTCAGGTTTGCCACACTACCTGGGAAACCTGAAAAAAATGGCAAAAGTTGGAGAATTCAGAAATTGACTAGAAAAATCGGGGACTTTAAATATTTTAGTCAACATCTGGAAAAGTCAGGGAATTTCATATGGTATCCCCTAAAAAGTGATTTTTACAGCAATGTTGGAAGCGATCACATTTCTGGACGAATTATGTATTACTTCTTTTGAAGATAATTAAATTATTTATGTTTTGATGTTGTACTGTCTGTCTACGGTAAGAACACCTCCCGCCACGGTGTCTGGCGGGTGGCGGTCGCTATAGCAACAGGGCTAGTATATTTCAAATAGGGACGAACCAAGGGCTGCTTTATTGTTATTTTGTTTTTGGCGACTGTTGGCTGAAGGGAAAAGAGTTTATCATTCGTCTTCTTAGTTTCATTCCAGCTGCACGCATCTTTTCTTAAGCCTTATATTATTACTATTAGCTATTTTTATTCTCATTGTTATATCTTTTGTACTGGTATTTGTTCAAATTTGCTTCTATTTAGCTTGATTTTTCGTAGTGCTTTGTTAATCGCCAATTTTTTAAAATGCACTTTCAGTTTAAGAAAGGCAACCTTTAAAGTTTCAAGCACGTCAAATCGTGTACAATGTCGCAGAATTTTGCGCTTCTGAAGCTTCGGCGAACTCTTTAGTAGTTCCTCTTCCTCAAGTTTTGAAGAGAACATCGCAAAGCTACTGGAGTATTGGAGTATACAATTAAAAAAATTAAGCGCGAAGTATCAACAATGGGGCAAGATCAAACTTCTAAATACGCCTGGAAAGAAACGTAAAAGCCCTGCTAATCATAAGTGCGAAAATTGACGATTTTGACAAATGCGTTTATACGGCAGACAATACAATACAAGACTTTTACATCAAAGAAAAGAAAGTGCCATCTGTGCGGAAATTATTGCCTGTCTTGAGGCAAAAAATAGACTTCCCGTGGCAAAAAAGACTCATTGTGCAAAGTTTGGCGTTCGAATGAATTTCGCTGGCAAGGAAAGTGTGTTAACAAAAGAAAAATTCTTATCGAAAGACCTCACATTGTATTTTGGAGGAACAATTATTTACGCGAAATGAGGAAACTCAGAGCAAGTGGACGCCACATCGTTTACATCGATGAAACATGGATTGACAGCAATTTAACTTTTAAGAAATGTTGGCAGCATGATACGGTTTTGGGCGCACAGATAAATGTCAGTTCCAAAAATAGGATTGTTGTCCATGCTGGCTCTTCCGCAGGATTTATTCCAGGTGCCCAACTTATATATAAAGCATCAGCTCAAAGCGGGGATTACCATGGGCAAATGAACTATGAAAATTTTGAAAAATGGGTGTAGGAAAAGCTTCTTCCAAATTTACGACCTCAAAGTGTGGTATGCATGGATAATGCCCCGTATCACACAAAAATTGAAGATCCGACACCCACGAAATATGCTACAAAGCAAACAATGGTAAATTGGCTGATGAAGAAGACGATATGCTGCGATCCCAAAATGCGAAAAGCGGAACTGTTCAGCTTAATAGAATGCAATCGTCCTAAAAAAGTAATATATAAAATTGACAACATCATAAAAGAAAATGGGCATCATGTTGTACGTCTCCCTCCTTACCACTGTGATCTAAACGCAATTGAATAC